CTGGAGAGTTGGCCATTTCTCTGCTTAATATTGACATCATGGTGAGCGGGGTGGTCACTCTTGTCGCCCGCCCACCGGCCGACAGACGCCTGTCAGCGGCCGATCGTTTTACCGGAGACATCCGATCCACGGCGATGATTCCCGAAGCCTTCGGAGCTGGCTGTGCCGGCAGGATCGGCTGGTCCGTCGTCTCGGGTTCATCCGGGGCCTTGAGGACGGACTGTGAGGTAATGCGCGGCGAGAGCTGTGACGTGGTGCGCAGTGATAGCTGCGACGTAGTGCGCGGCGATGCCCGCCGTGCCGTCAGCGCCGTCCAGCGACTCACAGCGGTACTGACAGCCTGCCCCTCGGTCAGCGAGGGAAGTCTGGGCGTCTGTAGCACGCTGCTGCGCCGGGAGTCCCTCGAGTTGGACCGGGTGGCCAGCAAGGCCAGCTTACTGACGGCTCTCCAAAGGGGGACAGGCTCTTTTGGTGGTTTGGCTAGAGGAATAGAGATGATCATATCAGTATACAGCGTACAGTATCAAATACATAATTTTGTTTACCTTCGCAGAAGGAAAACATTTTGTTTTTGCTCTGTTTCTTCTTCCTCGTCTTCTTCTTCTTCTCCAAACAAATAAGGTCAATGACTTGAACCAGATGTCTGTCACCATGGTAACTAGTGTTGGTTTACACCATATATACGAATTTGAATAAGTAAGAATCAACAGAGCAGACCATATGCGAAGGTAAGCATTATCCTTTGCAAATGTTACCTTTCTAGTTACTTTATGACCTTTTCGTTGGTTCGTTGGCTAGTTAGTTGTCCGGTCTGTCTGTCTGTCTGTCAATTGAATACAAATATCGACTTAGTCATCCTGACATATTTTTATAACATTAAATTACTAGTTGCAAAGTAACCCTGAACGACACAGCGCTCAGTCTTATTGCCAGATGAACTCACCCCGAAGCGCCACGTCCATCTGTTCCAGCACTTGTTTCTTCTCGTCCACTTTGATTTTCTTCTTGGTGAGTTTGCGCTTGAGCTGCCGCCGCTCCTTGTGCACCAGCTTCCGCTGTCCCTCCAGCAGATCACTGCCGACAAAACAGGGCAAAGACATTCGGCTTCTTGTCATTCCAAGATGTTTACAAATTAAGACTTCCTCTGAGGTCTTCAAAAGTCTCCCTTTTATCCACGACCTCAGAATCGCTTTATGATATACTTCAAAACGAACTTCAAAGTTAACACACTGCTTATCAAAAAGATGGCGACAGGAAACGCTCTAGGCCGACTTGATGTTTGTACCAGACTTCAACCATAAGGGTAACCAGACAACAAGACTTGAAAAGTCTTTGAATAGAGAATAGATGAAACTAGATATTTCTTCCAATTCTAACGCCGTGTGTTATATATAACTAGACTTCGCACATTGTACTACATTGTAGTAGTTTTTCACAGTCATACTTCTTTTCCATGGCATTTCAAAGAGAACACAATTCTATCGTGAATTTTGTCCTAACCTCTATCTTTGCAGAGAGATGCAGATATGCAGATATCAAACTTACAACAGCCTCCAGTTTAATTCCGGAATTCCGGTTTAATTCCGGACTTATTCCCATATATCAGCAACCTTACATCTAGATGGGCTAATATCGTCAACTATAGGTAATAATAATGTAAGAAATACATATACGTAGCAGCCATCGAAAACCCCTTGGGGATTAACCCAATTCTGCTGAATTCTTCACAGAATTCTGGCTACAGTCCCCGATGGGTGCTATGTATTTCTTATATCATTTTTACCTACAATTTGGTTACTATCCACACTGCACAGTCATTGGATCATCCTGCATGAGTTATGGGGCAGTGCCGAAGTCGCGCGGTGTGAACCGAGTCCCCGCAGGTGAGCAGTTTCACTGGATCTGGGTGGGTGGGTGGGTCAGAAAAAATGAAGGGAAATGCCTTCTCCTCTTAAAGCTTCCCCCATCCACCCTCCTGCCTCAACTGCTGGGTCGGTCTCACCTTGCTTCTTCGGGGTTGCGGATGTCTCCGAATGAAAGGGCAGAATGGAGTGCGCGCGCGCCTTATAAGGGGTTGATTGGTGACGTCATTTCGGATGACCAATCACAGTGCAGTGAAGATAGTAATATTAACCCATCTAGAAGGTTGCTATATGGGAATTAGTCCGGCATCAAACTGGAATACCGAAGTTAAACTGGGGGCTGTTTTAAGGACGTCCAGTCACAGTCAAGACAACGACTGGTTCAACTAAACCAGCTGACCTGTAGTCGATGAGCCCGTCCCCGTCAGAGTCCAGTTGTTGGATGAGCCGCTCCAGCTGCCACGGCTCCATGATGATGTTAGACTCCTGCGGGAGGAGGACAATCTCAGGTAAAGGTAGTACAGGTCCAGCTCTAATCGTAATGCGCGAGCCCTAGTGTTTTGGATAGCGCTACGCCACTGCTCACGTTCAACCAAGCACACATGGTCACTATCTTCGTACTCCTACAGAGCTATACTACTAGTACGTTGCTTCGAGGAGATAAGAATGCAACTAGAAAGGAAATATTTGCAAAGCAAATGCATAATGTTTACTTTCGCATATGGTCTGCTCTGTTAATTCTTAATATACTCAAACACATTTATATATGTGGTGACAGAAGTCTAAATCCCTCCTGCTATAAAATTGCAACATGTTGTAATTCAACACTAGTTACCATGGTGACAGACATCTGGTTCAGGTCATTGACCTTATTTGTTTGGAGAAGAAGAAGAAACTGAGCAAAAACAATGTTTTTCTTCGGTAAACATAACAATATTATTAAGAGAATAATGAAATAACATTACTCATAAGGTGGGCGTAGCAATCATATCTAAAATCAATATTTTCTGATTTTTGTTTTAAGATTTTTTTTAAAGTTACCTTCATGCCGGCGCGGAACTCGTCGACCGTGATGACCATGTTCTGTTTCTTGTCGAATCGGCGGAAGACGTCTGAGACCCGCAGGTGGTTCCGCAGGATGTAGTCTTGGAAGATCCGGCGGGGATCCTCCAGCGGCTGCTGCCAGTCCTGCTTCATCACCTGGGGGGCAGGGTAACAGTATGTATGTATGTAAGTCCTATAACCGTAACGGTCGTAGGGGCACCATGACAGCCAGCAGCATGTCTGGACTTGCCATGATGTTTCTGTAGGGTTATAATCTTGGCGGCGCCTATCTCCTCTCCAAGATTTTGGCTGATACAGACGGGGTGTATAGGATAACAGGGGTATCATGAAATACTTCGGAATGAATTGAGCTTTTCTAAAGAGCGATAGCTAGACTTCCTTTCGACACAGATGACAAAGATGTCTACTAATTTATCATGTGAACGAAGATGAAGCTTTTGTTTACTCTGCCAAAACCGAAACCTCTGCTTGGAGACCTAGAGTAGCTTTTGTTCAACAATTGCTATATTGTCTGTACAGAAACTCAAACTGAGACATTTATACATTTACAGGTTATGATAAAATCTTAAGCCATCTTAATAGAGTTCAAATTAATTGTTTCGCCAACCTTTCTTTGCACAAAGCCGTAGACAGCGGTCATATTCCTTCCCTTCAGTTTGTTGATCTTACGCAGGAATCGCAGGAAGTCCTGGCTGACTGCAACATCCTGGAACAAAAGAGATATTGGAACTGCACAGTTACAATTGGCAGAAATCCTTGTCTTTAGAATCTGCAGAATGATGCGCTCCCAAAAATAAGCAAGTCAGAAACACTGGACCTCGAGCCTGAACACATGTATTCTGCACAACTTTGTCTAATAGCGGACACACTATTTCAATTCATCACTTCTGTTACTTTTCTTATAGGCATCGTTTTGCCACACATACCAGAAAAGGCAAATCTATCACAAGCAGCTGATTTATATATATTCTTTACCGGATCTTAAAATAGGTTGAAATGGTCCCTTATAGTACACACACTTGCGTAACTATGTATAGGTGCCGTTGTCTTCGGCCGTAGCAACGGAAGATTCGACCTTATCCAATTCGCTATGTATAATGTAACTGAACACACATCTCACTGTTGTCATTAGTTTTCATTACCCAATAAAACTAGACCGCAATCGTATTCTATTCATCGGAAGAAGTCGTTGTAAAATCACTCATTTGCGGGCTTGGCGACCGGGTCATGCAAACATTACTTATTCCACTGAGATTTTTCACAGCACATTTAATAGACAAATAGCGGCCCTTTAGCGACACTAAAAGCCACGAACAGACTATAATGAATGCGCATTGAGTATTCATGGAAATACTTTTGTAGGCATTGACGCAAGATACATCATTTGTCAAAGTGCATGTGTAAAATACCGAGTTGTTGCGTAACTAGGTTCTCGGCTAATCCATGGCGACAAACGGGTATAGGGAAAGATGTGTTTGCTAATCTTTCCTTGATGATTTTACCATCTCCGTTATTACATGGTTGTTAGGCACCGTGTGTGTGTTTAACACTCCAGCCGTCCTTCCTGACGCTACGCCAGGAGAAACATCATTGTTTTCGCGGTTTGACGCCGTCCACGGCGGGTGTCAGGTCATCTGCAGATTCTGGCATCAGGTACAGGTTGAACGTACCAACACAAGCGACATCGGGTAGGTAGTTTATAACTGTTTAATAGATCTTTAATCGAGGCAAGTGTTATGATGTGAAATAATAGAAAATCAAATGTGGTACCTGCCAAGCAGGCCTTGCTACGTTAGGCGTTTTGAGAATGCCATTTTCCCATGATTGCGTTCTGCTATTTTCTTTTATCACCGCTGTGTTTTGAATGCTTCGAGCAGAGGTTTGATGGAGAAAATCGTTATCCCGCCTTCGTAGTCAGTCAGTCAGTCAGTCAAGTGGTCTCATATGGACCATTTCACTTCAAGACGTGTTTTCTTTGCTGTTGAGCGCCGTTGTTTAGTAGGTGATTTCTGACTCGGTGTGTCTTCAGTATGGTTTTACGCAAAGACGTGCTTCTCCTTGTCCTTTATATGCGAAAAAAATCCTCTGATGGGCAGACGCTTAATGACAACATAGAAAAGTATGGACGCTGAGTTATTCTGACATTTCTCGGCAATTCTGGATCTTGAAGTTAAAGTATAACTCTGTAAAGCAAAAGCAAACGATCTTCCACCATCAACCTCTGCTTGGAGAGTAGTAATATCAGCCACCACATCTATGTTGCCTTCGTTTTTTTTTATGATTTAAGGATATCTACAGCCTGCCCAGAAATGACCAGCACCAGCACCAGTGGTCAGCCGACCTTCAACCTGACCACCCCAGCGGACACAGGTTTCCGGCCGGCACTGTCTGACATGGACATAGCGGAGATGGCTCTCAGCAGCATTGTTTACTTCGCCGGGTTGCTAGGCAACGCAGTTGTGATGTACGTCATCATTAGGTGGGTACAGCATGAATCCGAGTTTCATGTACACATACTGGTAGTGCCGGTAAAGTGTAAGCCGTTTGACGGTTTAAAAAATAACTTACATGTACACATAACCAACAATTTAGGTCAAAACATTGATACATGTATCAATATCATTCTTTACTTGGTGTTTAGACAACATGCACATAATGCATATCTTAAATTTCGATATGCTCATAATTCTGTATCGCATCTTCTACATTCAACAAAAACGCCACATATTTGCTAACCACTTGATTTCATCATGAGAATGCCATTTTTATATCAGCGAGAAACATGTTTGTAATTTGTATCTAAGTGAAACTGTGATTCCCTTTTTAAAGGAATGAGAGAATGCAGACGGTGCCCAACATCTACATCTTTAACTTGGCCTTGGCGGACGGGATCCATTGCCTGATGGGACCAGTATGGCTGTCCTTCCGGGTCACGGACTGGATCTGGGTTCCGCCGGGATTAACGGTCTGCCGGATCATGCAGTACGTACAGTTCATGACTCTGTTCGGCAGTTCGTGCTTCCTGACCATCCTGGGCGTCCAGCGGTACCGGTCGGTGGTCCACCCGTTCCAGTACATGCACAGACGCACGGTACCGAGAGCCGCCATGTACTCCGGCCTGGTGTGGCTGGCGGTGCTGGTCCTGTCCGTCCCGTGCGGCGTTCTCTCCCACCTGGTTGCCCGGCACTCTACCCCAGTCTGCGTCTACGCCAGCCCGAGCGGCACGGACGTCCAGACGTTCGGCGTCATCATGCAGTCGTACGGCCTGGTGCTGGCGTTCCTCGTGCCGCTGTGCGTGGTGACGCCACACTACGTGCGCCTGCACGACCACCTGCGCGGGGCCGCCCAGACCACGTGCGTCTTCAAAGCGCGGAACCGGGTGACCCGCATGGTGCTGGTGGTGTCGGGCGTGTTCCTGGTGACCCGCCTGCCCCTGCAGCTCGCCCGCCTGATGGCGCTGCCGGCCTCGCGCGGTGCCGCCTCGCTGCCGGACAGCCTGGACTTCGTCCTCCGCCTCCTGTACGATCTGAACCCCGCCGTCAACCCGCTGGTTTACGTCTTCCAGGGAGTAAACTACCGAGCCGCTGTCACGAAGGCGTGCCGGTGCCGCGCTAAGATTAACAGTAAGTTTTCAGTGTATCTTGTATCATTTCCAGGAATAAATTCGGGTTTTGACGTTTTCTGACTATCAGCGAGATCCGGCCGTCCGAAAACATTACGATCTTCCATCTGCTTGGATATTAATATTCAGGTCCATTTAATTTACAGCGTCATCTGATAATATAATGTTTCAGCAACATGGTTCTGATTCTTTGTCTTATTTTCTCAGGAATATCCCCCTCCGGGAGAAAATACCGCCGGTCGCAGCCACGGTACCAACCCCGGGCTAACCCCAGACTGCCGGCGGCGTCACTGAGGGCCCAGACCGAGAGCATCTGGCTGGCCGAGCGGAGCCTGTCCGTCAGGTCCAACTGGGTGGGATAGACCAGGCGTAGGGACATAGAACAGTCACAGGGCAGGGGCTGGGGAAAGTTCAATGATTTGTTGGGTGGGTGTTCAACTCAAACGTTTACTGTCGACGTAGTATTGGGGAAGGCCAAAGATAGACCACCACATTTCCGGCCCTCTCATGCACGTCTACTAAATTTTTATTGTTATATCTTATTTTATTTGTGAGTGTAAAACAATAAATAAACAAACAAACAAGACGTCGAAGTTTATTTTTAATCCAGCTATCTAGCTGCGATTTGCGAATAACGTTACGTTCGACCCTTTGCAACTTTGAATGCAGCTACATGACATAAAGGATATTTAAGTGCCAAAATTTATATTAAGAGCAGCCGAAGTCGGGTATCAATTCATAGAATGCACACAGAAGTATCATGGACAGGCATATTCACATTGTTCCCACTTGAAGATTTCCCATGGAAAGACTACCTACCGTGAGGTCCAGTTCGGACATGGCTGAGTTCTTGTTCTTCTTGATGGCTTTGAGCAGAATGGTGCCTTCCTCGTAGGGCACGTTGTTCTTCCCCATCTTGGATGGAACACAGACATGGATTAAAATTAACTCCTATGAAATCAGACTTTAAAAATTCTAGCGTGGATAGTGTTCAGCACCAAGGACAGGCATGTAGGTAACTTTCTTCTCAAGAATAACCTTCCTCAGTCGCCACCCTGAAACACATTTTCTGTACTTTTGAGTCCATGCCTTTTATGTCACCGTTTGCTGATTATTGAGCATGATAAGTCAAGAAAAGATTAACAGATTTTGATTTTGTCTGATTCTACTAGCCCCTTTACTGATGACTTACTCTGAGTGTGGTCAGCGTCTGGTTGACCAGTAGCGCGTTGGCCATCGCCCGGACACCCGTCGGACCTATTCTGTTATTGGTCAGGTCCAGGTCAGCCAGGGTCACGTTGACCTTCAGGGTCGCCGCCATGGCGATTGCGCCTGCGTCACTGAACCCGTTCCACGACACGTCAAGGTCACGCAGACCCTCGTTTTTCTGCCAAGGTCATCGAAATAGATGTTTTAACATACAACTGATTGTTACCTTCATAGCTAGCTAAAGACATGTTGAACTTCGCTTGAAACGTAAGCACTTCAGCGTAAAGATTGCTTAAATTTGCTTAAAGAGTGCCAAAAAGGGACCTTTAAGCATGCTTTAAGACTGCTTAAATAGCCGATTTCGTGCAGTGAAAGGTACAAGATTCTTAGGTGAAATGATTAAAGATATTGCAGATTTTACGTAATTTTGCTATCGAATGAGCTCTTGTTCAGTCAGTGTGTTCTGCCCCCCTCCCCACATACTGACCTTCATGGCCGTGCAGATGGCCAGGGCACCTTTGTTCCGGATGTGGTTCCAGCTCAGGTCCAGCCGCCGTAAGGTGCTGTTGAGAACTGTAAGGAAAGGGTCATGAGAAATCAGCGTACATTCCCTCTAACAGGAGATAACAGTTACATGTAATATCACGTGCTGCAGACTGCCAGGCAGGTACCTTAGACCCAAACAAGGAATTTTGTAATCGGTTCATGAAGAATATCAAATTTGTAGACAGTTCAACTCACCCAAACCCTTTCCTATCAGTCTCGCTCCGTTCTCTCTAAATTCGTTTTCTTTCAGTATCAGCTCTCGTAGAGACGTATTGTCCTGGAAATAAAACAAAAACCAACTTGACAAAGAGTATTCATTGTAAGCTAATCTGCCTGATCAACTTATACTCGAAATCAACAGAGTTTGTACACAACAACAATAACGATTACCTTCAACACCCTTGCAAAATGTACCCCATCCGACTCCCCGAAATGATTGCCTGAAAAAAGTAACAAAGCATTATATCAGTCTCGCTGTATGGGTGGAGTAATCTCTGTCAGATGTCCTCCTAGAAGCTCATTTTACACAGCCAAGTGTTTTATTAACAGCCGACGTTTCAATGACCGTCTGTCACCTTCCTCAGGGCAAGTCTGACTGCAAATGTTCAAATTGCACTGCAGCACGGTCACCAAAACGTCGCTTGTGAATAAACACTTTTACTCCGTGACTCACCAACACGAAGAAACTATTCACGGATAGAAGCTAATCTGTTTATTTTTATGATGCGTACCTGACAGGTTTATAGACGTGATGACTTTGTTCTCGACCAGCATATCCGCCATGGCGAGGGCGCCTTCTGGGCCCAGGTTGTTATACGATAGATTCTACGGAAACCAACAAACAGACAGACAGACGGTAAGGCAACAGACAAAGAGTCTTTCTTAAACATTGATCAGATGATGGTGACTTTTAAGGTACTAAATGCACAGCAAATAAAAGTGCTGTTGTTGAAAGTATAGATTACAGCAAGGAGCTTAGCTCACCACTGTTGTGATGAGTTGGTGTGTGTGTGGGTACTCACCACTGTTGTGATGAGTTGGTGTGTGTGTGGGTACTCACCACTGTTGTGATGAGTTGGTGTGTGTGTGTACTCAGTACTCACCACTGTTGTGATGAGTTGGTTGAACTTCAGCATGTCGCTGACGTGCCAGACTCCCTCTGCTCCCATCCCGTTATCCTCCAGGTCCAGAGCCGTGATATACGGACTCAGCTGGCAGAGGTAATACATGTACAGGTTTGTTTCAGCATAGGTTAACTTTTTCCGAGCTCTACTCTGCACACAAGTATGCAGAGCACACAATTACTTTGTGCATTTCCCACTACGGAGAGTACTTCTCACAATATTGATAACAACAAAGGTACTGAAGTACAGTTAATATTTATGTGCATTTTGAGATATTGAAACTATTGAAGGATAAAATTATTCTACATGCACATTGCGCACCTGCTACATGCTGCAAACCAAAACATCAAACATCGGTGAAGGTTAGACATCCAGGTAATAAGATACGCCAAAAAGCAGTTACTCAAGCAACTGGATATGATTTTGGAAACGGTCAGATGTTTCAGGTAGCATCCACTAGCTTTCGTCAGTGACACTAAGAGACCAGAGCATATTTAACTTAAAATCATCATCCAAAACACGTGCAGATTCAAACGTCCCAAACATCTACTCTCCAAGCAGAGGTTTGGGTTCTGGCTTATTTTTGGCGTGTTTTTAGGCTTTTTATTGGGGTTTCTTTTTTGCACTGGAATTATTCTTACGCCAACTCCAGTGCAAAAAAAAGAAACCCCGTTAAAAAAGGCTAAAAACACGCCAAAAATAAGCCAAAACCAAACCTCTGCTTGGAGAGTACCTAAACACCTACCGCGATAGGAACGCAGATCGCCCTCGTTCCCAGGGGTCCGAGACTGCGGTGCCGGATCCGGAGTCGGTGAACCCGCATCATCCGGACAAACGACCAGACCGGAACCACACCCAGATGTTTACATGCGTCAATGTACTCTTGTTTACCTGGTACATCTAAACAACAACACAATAATTGATGAAAAAAAGGGCAAGAACATAGATGGCAGATTACATCTCCTTACATATGCATACTCACGAATTGGCGACCCCGATCCAGTCTCTGACACATGTCGTTGAATTAAATAAATTGAATTGAATTGAATAGTAGCACTACGTTACAGTACTTAGTACCTAAGGATATTTGGCAACGCTGCATTGTATATTTACAGATAACGTTACACACACTCACAGACAGACAGACAGACGGATGCTGGTAAAAAATAAGCCAAAAAGAGCACTTCCTCACTCTTGGGTTGAAGTAACAATGATAGATTAATAACTATACGAGACATGACAGAATTTATGCAAAGCCAAATTGTGTATGACATATCAATGACTGTCCCAGAAAAGTCCCCAATTTTCTCACGACTGTCGTAATCCTGTCGTACGACGTAGTCGCCTGAGGAGTAAAACATGTACCGACCGCTGCAGATTTCATCCTCGCCACAGGGCTGTTTATCTGCCGGCTCCATGTCAGTGCTCACCCGGGGGTCAGACTGAACCGCTTCGAAACGATATCGCTGTTTATGAAAATTATGGTGATATGCATCTGGGTCAGGTGTTTGTACTACAGAGCGAACATCAGCTGCCCCTGACTCTTAATGCCGTACGTCGTCTTTGATTCACCATCACTTTATACCAGGTAATTGGTCCCGACAGAGTTTCAGGGCGAAGATCCATTGTAGAGAAAATCTTGCACGAAATGGGGGTACTGGTTCTTTGAAGCTTGAAGGGAAGAACTTAAAAGTCTTTTGTACATTGGAAAAAAGAGGGGGAAAGGATTCGACCGCCGCTGACTTATTTCTTAAAAATATGGCCCCCGAGAACACGTTTTTCAGTAAGCTTCATTTGTACATCAACGATCAACCTTTTGGTTATCTCATGTCTTTTTAATCACTATTGTTGTTTATGATTTAACAACAGCGTAGATACCAATTAAGTATGGACGGAGACATCAATACTTTGTATCGGTCTTGAGGGACACAGGTTACCCAGTGCCATACTGTACACAGTGACCGCTGGTAACTCCACAAAAGTCAAAACGCTCGGGACTTACCGCGTGATGCATTTCACCCGCAGACGGTTGTCCTCTGTATTTCCCGTCATACCTATCGCGCTCACACAATGACTTGGCACAAGCCGAAGCTATACATTGTCATCTAAATAATGTGAGTGTAAAAACACATAAAGAATCTACTTGCAGGTTTAACCGTCCAACATGGCGGGCAATACTTTTATCACGAGTGGGCAAATACCCTCCAGTCGCGCCTTATGGATCGCGCGTTATAAGAACAAGACCACAAACCACCGTGCACAAACATACAAAATTTCGAAATATCAAAAGGCCTTCGGAGCTAGTCTGCGTGTTTTCGTGCCTTGGCGACTAGATTTGGCAGATAAATGAAGAAGGCTCTATGTGAAAATGACTGTTCGCAAACGTTAACCCACGCTGTAGTTCGCTCTAGAACGTCGGAGACCAAACGCATTGAGTAAAATCCTATGAAGGTTAAGACGCTTTATCTAAAAAGGCTCTTTTAGCTATTTCAGCAGATAGTAAAAGTCTTCTAGTTTACACGTATCCTATGAATCTTGCTACCGATTATGCAGGGATTCATATATCATTTTGATATACATATAGTTCGATACCAGCCCCTCCCTCCCCTATACACACCCAGACGTATTGAAGCTAACAGTACATTTCGTAGCAAGTTGTCGAACAAGAAACATCGTACTCTTGGAGCTATAAAAACATTGATCTTCCAAAGTTAACAGCTAGTAACCAATGTTTTATACAGAAATAGATAAAGTAAACCCTGGCTACCTTCTATGCCAGTGTCTCCCTTCAGCGCCATTCTTGGCGTCATGCCTGGCTCAGGTGGCTCCTGGTCTTCATCTTCATCCAGGGAGACATCACTGTGGTACTCCCCCTCCTCCTCCTCCGTGTAGAACTCAGACTCGGAACTTTCCTCATCATCATAGGAACCACCCAGGTCATCTTCTAACGTGTCTGTCTGAACCTCCATCAGCTTTTCATCGTCACTAAGTACCTGGTCACATCGTTCATCGGTTACAGTGGAATCCACGTCGATTTTCATGTCGATACTGCGTCTAACTTTTGGCTCCTGGCCGTTTCTGATGTCCACGTCAACAGAATGTGCCGATTCCATGTTCCTTTCCCCTTAAGCTTGCTATTTCATGCTTTTAAACTGACTATAAACTTAGACTTCTGAGACAAAACTATAAGATAAGTTGTCGTCATTTCGCAGGTTCCATCCCCCTTGCCTGCTATGTTGTACGGTTGCTAAGTCTTTGTTGCGGTTCTAAGGCGCTGGCGTGTCAAACGTCGCTCGATGATGAATATTTGATGAGAGAACATGCCATCCGTCACTTTCTATTGTAAGGCCTTTATCAGGACGACCCGCATCGGAAGTGATCTTTAACGCCTGGATATCTGCCTTTTGGGCAGGGCTAGCGGCATTCTCTGGCTGGCGTACTCGCCTCTGCTGGTCTTCACCTAGCCTGGGTGCCAGACCCACAGCGCACAAGGCTCAAAGCTATGCTGTATGCATAGGATAACCTTAAGCTAGTGTACTGTGGGTCTGGTACCCAGGCTAGTTTTCACCGGTACCGAGGAACCTTTGAGTTTTCTGACAACCCGTTTGCTGAGCACTAAAGTTTTGTCAAGTAAATTTACACGGTGATAAAACCAGAAAACATATTTTCATTTCCTTGTAGCCAAGGATGACGAACCATAATGGGAACAAAAGAGGCATAATCTTGCACAGGAATAATAATTGCCTCTGATATATCGTTTACTATATCTGGTTATATTGCGTAGAAGTTCATAGAAATGATAGATAGCACATTTCAGTTTTCGTGTATCAAATCACATTATCCACCAAAGCTCAGGAGGGTGCCCCAAGCTTGCATGATGGAGGTTCTGCCATTGATTAGCCAATATAACCAAATCGACCTGGGCAGTTACGGAAATAGCACACAATGGTATGAAAAATTGATACATGTGTGCTGTACATATACGTCATATAAGTCTATTGTTGTATACGATTTGTGTAAAATCAAGAGCTGATGACACATTTGGGTTACACAATGATTACAGAAACCTTTTTTGGACAGGAATACGCAACAAGCCATTCGTGCGGAGAACTAAACTACGGGTGTGTTCTGTTATTGGTCGGCTGTCACAGTGGTTTATCCTCAATTGTAAGAACAAAATAATGATCGGGTTTACCTCAATACTTTCTTACTTTAGGAACCTCTTTCTTCTACTAGATCTAGATATCGTTGTATTTGGTCTCACTAGGACATGTGTTCAGTCTTTGCCCACTTTATTTTATGTGAATGTCATGCAGCAAGGGTGAGTCAAACTCAATTCAGGTTATCATGCTGTAAAAAAACTACCTAAACTATAACAGGTTTCTTTGTTTGTCGAGACAATAGGAGGCAAGTACATGTATTTATTTTCATTGTGACTGACAATGCAGTGGGAACCAGGCTGCTAGGAACTCCAGTCCATCCAGTAACAAATGTCAAATCAACATGTAGCAATTACTTTAAAAGTTATACAACATGCCTATTACTTCTTTTATCACCTTTTATATGTTCTGAACTGTACGAAAAAAATACAAATTTACTTTTAATGTACGTACTTCCTCAGGCTCTACAAACAAAGTGGCCAAGACAAAAATAACAAACAAGTTTCATATGTTTTTAGTAAGATTTTATTTGCGTCTACGGCAGATTTTCTGGACCTGGTACTGTTCACTTCTTCTGCGCCTTCTTCAGACGGCCCATCTCCATCTTAATCAGCCAGGAACGCTGGAGAACAACAGAAACAAGTCAGCAATAAAGTACAGAAACCACAACCAACATTCTTCATTGACATACACTGTCACACAACAACCCTATTCAATAGACTACCTGCTAGATGAAAAAACAATTCCTACAGTTCAAACTACAACTTCCTGACACTCACTCACTCACTCACTGCACGGCTTAGCGTCCGTTGTTCCCCGTCATACAAGGGTTGGAGGTCGTGGGATGTCGTTTGGGTCTAATAGCTGCTCTCCAGCTGCTTCTGTCTAGCGGGTTGGCCTTCTGCAGTTTCAAGTTTTTCACGTCTTCCCTAATACTGTCTACCCATCTCTTTTTTGGACGGCCACGCGGGTTTCGTCCCTCTACGGGCATTGTCATGACCTTCCTTGGCCAGTTCTGCGGGTCCATCCTTTGCACGTGCCCATACCAGCGCAGTCTGTTGTAACGCAAGATCTCACGTAGACTGCTTACGCCTAACCTACACCTAAGTTGACACTACTGTGTCATTTACTATCTACTATCTTCCTCCTCCTCCTCAAGATCAAAGATGATGTCTTACCCTTTGCTTGACCTTCATCAACTTGAAGCGGTCAAAGTCAGAGAGCTGTCTTCTCTGTAATGGTGAAAATAAATGAGGTTAGGTGTGGTTACAAAGTTATTAATTACTTTGTACATTTAAAAAATTTTGATAACGGAAGGTGATCATACAAAATACTTCATGTTGATTTCCTAGTGACAACCATAACAATGATGACTTAATTCTTCGAGGTTGTACAATAAGTTGACTGTTGTTCCTTTTTAGTTGAGAAAGCAAATGCAGACAGCAGTCTCGGTGGAGAAGGAACCTTGCTATGGCATTCAAAGAATGGCAGATACCCCACAAGAGGGGAAGTGCCCCAGTAAGAATGCCTTGTACAATTTCATTTCTATCCCTGATCTTTCTGATATCACGAGTCTCTCTGTATATAATACTAGTATCATGAGAAACAGGACCTAATGAAGCTTTTATGACTTAGACCACGTTCACATTCAAAGAATGGATCTGGATTGCCTGTCGATCCGGATGAAAATTCGTCATTTCGGATCATTTTTTGCTGTGTGAACGCTCCAATCCAGATTGATTTTTTCCGATCCGAATCAAAAAGTAATCCACCTCGAGGAGGTAGTTCAAGGCCCTTGTGGCGGATCCAGATTGGATAAAACCGCAAGTGTGAACGCAAAGTGCCTTGGTTTCCGACTTGCTTCGCCGATGTAATGCGATCGATGGCCAATGCGGATCCATTTTTAAAATGTGAACGGGGTCTAAATTAAGGCACAAACAGACAAACAAATCCTGTGCCCGTACCGTGGCCTTCATCTGGAGCTTCTTGTACCAGGTGGACTGGCGCCACTTCTCCTCCACGCCCTCTTTCTCCCACGCCTTCTTCACGGCGGTCGTGCCGCAGCCGTGTCCGATGTTGATCACGACCCCGGTCAGATGGAGGAACTTGAAGCTGACAGCCTGGCGGCGGATGTTGGGGCCATCGACGAGAGCCTGAAGTCAGTGAAGAGAAAAAAAAGGAGTCTATCTATATCCTCGATATGTTTGTGTAAGTCTTGTTGTGCTTCAACATCAAGGTTGCACTTAATGTTGACTGTCGTTCCTTTTTAGTTGAGAAAGCAAATGCAGACAGCAGTCTCGGTGGAGAAGGAACCTTGCTTTGGCATTCAAAGAATGGCAGATGCCCCACAAGAGGGGAAGTGCCCCAGTAAGAATGCCCTGTTGAAGCCGTTGTTGGCTCTAACTTTTCTGAAAAGGAAATCATTTTCAAAGACCTCAAGCCAAAAAACTGTTACGTAGTAATCTGGTGGGGGAAGTAGGACTGTCACAGTTTACCTATATCTTTGATTATGATATATTGTATGTTTATAAGTTTAAACTAATGCTTTAGATAACTGTACAAGTTAACACCATAACAAGATGGCTGACTACATGAAAGCACTCACCCTGTTCTGGTCTACAATGTCGACCACGGCACACAGCTTGCCCTCGTCCTGTCCGAAGCGCACAAAGGCCACACGGCCGATCTCCACAAACCGTTTGTACACCTGTACATGATAGGACAATGTATCAGCAAGGACTGGAACATGTATCAGCAAGAACTCTTCAAACAAGTAAAACACATTTTTGGGATTGTTCAGCTTGTACAAATACACTTATGTTCATGGCAAATTATGAGGGCACCATGAACAACTTAGTTTCAACCCAAGTGCTTTTGCTTACAATGACTTTCTTTCTAAATGTATGACATAGAACTGCGGATCAAATTTAAAATGTCCGAGGTTTTTCAAATTTTATGCTGTTTGAAATGGGGTACAATTTTGTACCATAATTTTTGAGGAATTTGACCATTTTTAGAATTTAATTTTCAGTGCTGTTTTCTAGTAATATCCACAATTATCCCACAGACATTGATTACTACTCTAAGGACCAAACAAATTGTAAAATTTTTCTTATTAACTAAAAAGGTGTATCTTTTGATGTAATTTCGGGGGCCTGAGCTGACACAACCACGTTGACTTTTTCCGTCAGCAGTTGCAAGTTGCAACCGGCATGCAGCATGGCATAGCAGACCTCCAAAGAAACGAACGATTTTCAACAAATTCGACGAACGCAGCCAAATTTATCTTCAACCAGTATAATCTATGATATTTAAACAACAATATGATCGGTTTTTGTTTCAGAAAAAATGCGTAAAATGTGCCATTTTGATCTAGTTTTCTGGGGGAAATCTACAGAAGATACTAACCATTTTCAGCAAGATGGCGGAAAGGAGGAGCATGGGCCGCAAAGCCCCATGGGAAATTTTACATTTTTTATTGAAAACGAATAAATTGTAGATCTTACAATATTTTATCCTGAAAAAATCTTACTTTTTGACCCAGACAACAATGATGTATTCTATTATTATGATGATAATATCATTTTTGTGTTTTACGAATTCAATATTATCACCTTTGACCTGAACTTCGTGTCAATGACCTACTTATTGGGAGGAATAGTCATCTAATGTCAATCATCAGTGCACGACAAAACAAAAGTTTCTTTATTAAAATACAAAACACAGAAACTGATTAACATGTTTTCTAAAAAAAATAATCATTTTGTTTATCAGGTATGGATGTTTACGTTTTATTTTTCTCCATGCCGGAAAACTTTCCCAAATCTTCACCACCAGCTAATTTGGTTCTAATACTAGTATTTGCATCGGTATTCATTCCTCCTAGTAAGCGCCAGTGTCCATTGGAGTGGGGCAGCACTGCGCAAGTTTCACTACCTACAGCTGCAAGTTCTTGTCCATTTTGCGTGGGAATCCCAAGGGTAAAACATGAACTTCCTGCGCGTAGTGGGGGCCTTGAACCGGCCGGCTGGGGTCATCAGTCGGACTTACTGTCCTGGGACCGCCGAGGTAGGAAAGGGAGATGTTCGTCCATAAATACTAGTAGAGGCCATTATAGACTAGCTGGGTGTACGTGCGTCCTTCAAAGATATTATTACCATCATTTTTATGGGACATTCTTGTTCAAAAATTCTTATAACATTAACATAACGACATTTGCACAGAGGTATAAATTTTGCAGAACAGTCGTTTCTTCATCTTGACAACCATATTAAATTGATTTTATTAGATATATTAGATTATATATTAGATTTAGATATAGTATTTTATAGCCAGCCACTCACCTTTCCTTCTGGCTAAGCCAAGCTTTTAGTTATTTCAAGGAGTTGGTCATAAGTTAATTTGTTGAACGTCAAAAATATTGCTGAACTGGAAACTAGGAGCCAACTGGTCGAGAAAAGTGAGTTAGCAGTATGAAATGGTGGCATATTAGATTGTGGTCAAATTCTAAAATTCCTCAGAATCCGATACGACAAAAAAAAAAAGTAAGACATAGGTGACTGTGCCTAAGGTTAATCCCCTTTGTGTTTTCCTCTCTTCCAGGCCAGTCGCCTGTCGGACTCCCTGATAGAAGCGTTGTCTGCCGCCGTCGGGCTGAAAAACATCTCCACATCATTCGCAGTCAGGGAGCAGCATGGGAAGGACGAGTCTTACCACATGTAATATGAGTTGTGATGGACTTTCCTCCTATACGTAAACTGTATTTTGTATGCTAGGATAGTCATTATCATAACCTGGTTGCCCATCTTGGTTGTCGAACACTAGCCACTTAGCAATAGCCTGGTTACCAAACCTATTATAGCTCCCGAGTCCTACATCCTCTCCTATTTAGGACTCGGGAGCTATAATAGGTTTGGTAACCAGGCTAACTTAGCAACACTGCCTTTGCAAAACTCTAATAATAAAATCTCCAAGCAGATGTTTGGTGGAAGATGATGACATTTTCCAACTGCCTTGTCTTGTCATCAGTTATGAATCTGTGACCAAGTCAAGAGCTGAGTGAGCACTGGTTTCACTAAATGTTTTGTGTTAATACCCCTTTCCATGGGGGAGTTGAATAGAAATGTTGTAAATGATAAGCTTCCATGTGCTACTATTGTTACACACCTTTTGAGTTGAACAGGTGGAGTGTACTTGCAGCTTCCTATATGTGCTTGCTAACATTGTCGCTATATATTGGGTATTTTTCAGGGTTTTTGCCATCATACTACTTGCAATTTGCATCCAATCTTTGGTTACCTGCATGATGAAAAAATTTAAACGAATTTAGATGATCTTTGATGAGAGAAAAATGTTGTATATTATTTTGGAATTTTGTAATGCAATCTTAGGCAAAAGTCATCTCTTTAGCATAATTGAATTTGGAATGTCAAAAAGGCTTTATAGTTTATAGTTGGCAAAAGCCCTACTGGTATTAGATACGCTTTTGTGTACCTGTTTGTTGTTATTGCTGTCACTAACATGGTCTGACTAAAATGAAATCAAACAGACCACAGCCCGCTGATGTCGTACTCTGGCCGGAGAGTGTGAGCGCCGTCAGCAAAGTTGCCAGGATCTGTTATGACAACGGGGTACCCATGATTCCGTTTGGTACGGGCACAGGGCTGGAGTCTGGTGTCAGCGCGCCCAGGGTAGGACTTCGTACTCCACGGGCCACGCCAAGTCTGTTTGTTGGTTTTCGTATATAAAAGATGCCTGAGGTGACAGTCAGTACACAAAATTCATATTCCGATTCAGGTTTTTCTTCCAGACCTCTCTATGTTTACCAAAGGAAAACATATTCGTTTTTGCTGTGTTTCCTCCAAACCAAAAAGGTCAATGATCTGATCCTAACTGTTACCATGGTAACTAGTGTGGGGTTACATCATGTTGCAATTTAATAGCAGGAGGGATTTAGACTCCCATTACCATATACTAGTATATGAATGTGTTTGAGTAAGAATTGACAGAGCAGACCATATGCGAAAGTAAACATTATGCATTTGCTTTGCAAATGTTACCTTGCTAGTGAAATCTTGTTCTCTTTTTGGACTTTTACTTTGAAAGACAGAGAACCAAGAAAATAGACTGGTGTGGCCATGGTGTATGGGTATTCAATTTTATTCATTCACTGCAGAACTAAAAATACTGGATTGAAAGGTAATTGGAAATATGGCATCTGAAAGGTCTTCATTAGACACACACACTCACTCACATATATATCTGTCTCATATATATACATCTACATATAGAAAAATTCTATATATTTATGTAACCTTATATGTATGTACATGTGTGTATTATTTATGATCTATATGTGTTGTTGGCTACATCAGTGACAATGAATTGTCAGTGCTAGTCAGTGAGTAGCACTATAATTTGTTTTTGACATTGTTGTTTTCTCGGCTTTTTGTTGTTGTGTACTGCTTAGATGTATAATGGTGCGTACACCAATTCCTCTGTGACAGGGGTCCGTGGTAGTGCGCGGTAAAAAAAGTGATGAAAGGGTTTCAAGGGTCCAGGTTTGAGTTCACATTTCTCATCATCTGCTGCAAAATGACATTAAACACCAGCATGGCTGGAAAGCGTACTAGAAGTGACGCGTTTGGGGCAAAAATTGATTTTGGAGTCGAGCTCTTTTTCCAGTGGCATCCTTCTATCCTCCCCTGATACAGCCCTCCCCTCCATATACAGCTCTTGGCCCACAAAGAAACTGCTGTGCTCTAGCCATGCTCATTAGAGAAACAAATGCTGCCCACTAGTATTAGTCTGCGCAAGAGGCTAGCATTCTTTCGCTTTGAATGCGATGCGCCTCTTTGCCCCAGATTGACCTTTGGGCACTGTTGCTATGCCTCATTCGGCTACACTGGTAATATGCAGATTGAGACAAAAAAAAACTAGGGTGCGCTCCCTTAACGTAAAAGCCCATTAAGTGAACTGTTGCTGCAGTGAGTGACAGAAGCTTCTGGGCAAAAGCTGTGGTTCAAGTGGCCGAGGAAAGCCAGGCATTTGACCTGATTCAAATCATGTTGCTGCACAGTATGTTGTTAAGAAGGCAGTGTTGACACTGGCATTAACATTTGGTATAGCAGCATTGTTCAAGTGAAGTACATGTAAGATTCTGAACTTAAAGGTACAACTCCTTCCACAGGGTGGCGTGTGTCTGGATCTGACCAGGATGGACCAAGTGTTAGATCTCCACCCTGAGGACTTTGACGTGAGCGTACAGCCTGGAGTGACCAGGAACGCGCTCAACTACTACCTACGTGACACAGGCCTGTGGTTCCCTGTGGGTAGGTGGGTTAGGATTATGGTGTGGGATGGGTGCTTAAGTCATGAAAACTGCTGCCTTGCCCCAAAAGAGTGTCAGATTTTTGATTTTATGATGAAGATATCAAAGTTTTAAGCTCTAGTGGTGCATATTACTTGATTTCCAGTTCAGCATTGTGTTTTCAAATCTGAGAACAAGCTAATGGTTTCCTAACTGTGCAGATCCTGGTGCAGACGCGTCGCTCTGCGGCATGGCGGCAACCAGTGCCTCCGGAACCAACGCGGTGCGGTACGGGACAATGCGAGAGAACGTGATGAACCTGGAGGTCGTGCTGCCGGACGGAACGATCATCAACACAGCTGGCAAGGACAGGAGGACAAAGTGGGCACTGGTGTTACTTTGTGTGTTATTTCAAAGTTCCAAAGTTTAAAACAACAATATATGAGATTTTTGAGATCCAATGAGCTTTGAATTGTCAGAGAATTTTGTGCCTTAAACTTCAAGATTTTATTCATTTATTCAACATACAAATCACATTTACCATATTACAGGAAGATAACTCTGAATTGGCTGCAAAACATCTAAAATATCAAAAGCATACAAAACAAACAAGGTCATTTTACATTTGTACATCTGCAGGAAAACTGCAGCTGGCTACAACCTGACAAACATCTATGTGGGGTCAGAGGGCACGCTGGGTATCATCACCAAGGCAACGCTCAGACTGTACGGGATACCGGAATCTGTGAGTGTCAGAACGTCTTTGCTCATGTTGTCTACATTTTTGTCAAACAAATGCTTCCTGTTTGATGTACAATGTAGTTTTTCTATTTATCTATTCAAATACTTGAGCTGACCAGAGCACATGACCTTCCTTGTTCACAGATCATGGCAGCCGTGTGTTCGTTCCCCTCTGTTCAAGCTGCTGTGGACACGACAGTCATGACCATGCAGAGCGGCATCCCCATCGCCAGAATAGGTGATGTCACACGTCACGTCACATTCAGACTATAGCTCTATATCAGTATCTGTATCAGTATAGCCGGTATAACTGCCCTTTGGCGTAACACACCAGCTGAGAAAGATGCATGGGGATTTCATTTTTACCTGCCAATGATTCCGTAGTTTGCCTGCTATCTTCCTTGGCACTGTATTTATAGGACTACTTATGCTGCTGTTACAGACACAGCATTGAGAGTATGCCCCAAACGTGAATGAGTCTGTATCCCCTAACTCAATACTGGGTTGTGTACAAGAAAATTCTTCTGATCCTACTAGCTACTACCTTGGAAGCCAAACTCGTTTCGGGCCGACAGCCGTTCCCTTCGGCAGCCAAGAGCCCTTTGCCCGCCTGTCTAAATTACCTCTGCGGGGGAGTCAAGCCCGGGGTGAGTTTGGCTGGCCGCATAATACTCCCCACGGGCTCAACTCCACAGCAGGCAGCAGCAGTAATTTAGGTCTGCGGGCGAAGGCCTTCTGGCTGCTGAAGGAAACGGTTAGCGACCCGTAAACTTGTCTGGCACCCAGGGTATTACTAGCTACCAATCACATTATTCTGGAGATCCTGTGAAATCCTGTTCCTTCCCCCAGAGTTCCTAGACGATGTGATGATGGATGCCTGTAACAAGTTTGGCGGGCTGGACTACCCCGTGGCGCCCACCCTGTTCCTGGAGTTCCACGGTTCAGACAAGAACGTCACGGACCAGGCAGAGGCTGTGGGTGCGTGCCAATATATCAATAAATAACTATCAATGTGGAGTGTTTCAAATTATTGAGGTTTATGGCTTCAAACATGGGACCTCTGGCTCCCCCCCTTTTGCGTAAAATATCTCTAATGTATCTAAAATATCTCTTTATTTTTTGTCCAGCTGAGATTGCCCAGATGAATGAAGGGTCAGACTTCCAGATGGCCTCTGACCCCGCCCAGAAGAAAAAACTGTGGTCAGCGCGACACAACGCCTGGTACGCCGGACTGGCGCTCAAGCCAGGGTCTAAGGTCAGCCTCTAGGGTTTCATGTGTGACAAAAGCCTATTGTTTGATACTTGTACAAAATGAACCTGCCTGACAAGTCAACTCACCTGTAACTCTATCTGAGTTAACTTTGTTGGTATGATTGAAACATTGTTTTCCTTCATGTTACAACAGTAACATTTGTGTCAGTTCATATATACAGTGGTCGAAATACTTTTTTTCAGTGCTCTGCAATATTGCAGAAGAGTCAAAATTTCGTCCTGCAATTTGGAAATACTTTCTGCAAATACACAAGCCCCCATATTACAACCTTCTGAAACCAATAATGCCTATTTTACATCATATATATATAACGGTATAGCTTTGTAAATCTGTAGCATTACTAAAATTCTTCAAAATATCACTCTTTTAAATATGTTCGGACCGTAAAATTTTATCGATCCGGTCCAAAAAAACCGATACGTCGGTGGACCGGTTTTTTTGACCGGAACAAAAATCCATATTTGTTGTTACTGAATAACTGATGATCACTACATACAAGACCCCCATACAAAGAAGCCTGCCACTGGAAAAATGAAAATCCAGCCTTCAAATAAAAGAAGTTTACCTTAGTCTCCGTCTCTCTCATTTTGCAACAATATTTTCCCGTATTTTGGTACCGATAGTCATCTAGAAATCATAAAGGACAAGTCTACGGGCCGTGCTTGGTTCGGATCGAGCCGAAAATCACTGATTTTACACCATATGGTCACAATGTGATGCACGTAAATTTTCACTCGAAATGAGAAATTACCGCCCAACAAAACGGACCATTAGGTTCCCAGTGCTGTATTTCTCTTTTGTTCATGTGATCAACTTGTTTTCTTTGCTTGAATCGTGCAAAATACCAAGGAAAAACATCGAAATTTCGGCAAATTAACGCCGAGGCGAGTGTGGTTTTTCGGAGGAGCCATGTTTCCTTTGCCGTGTTGCCTGCTGGGAAATGCTCAGCGAAAATTGCCGAGGCAGTTGTCGGGTCCTCCCGGGAGACGAAATCTAACATCGGAAAATGGCGAGTGCCCATATTTGGTTATCGTCGCCTTTCGTCGCCTTGTCGAAATCGTTCAACTTTGACCCCAAATTCCCTTATATGGGACCATTTCAGTCTGCTGGAAAACGCCGGCAGGTTCGTGCGGCACAGGTTTTCGATCTATTCACAGCGCCACTGCTTTGCTAATTGAAAACTATTGAATCCGGAGCCTATTTTTTCCTTCTGCAAAATTGCAGATTGTAAGATTTTTTCTTCTGCAATCTTGAAAATCTATCTGCAAATTGCAGACTGCAGACGGGTATTTCGAACACTGTATATAGCAATGACATTTCTCTCTCACACAGGTAAGTTGACTGTGAGTGTAACCATGTGAACTACATTTCTGCAGGGCCTTGCCACAGATGTCTGTGTTCCCATCTCCAAACTTCCTGAGGTCATTGTCGAAACCAAAGAGGACATCAGCAAATCATCCCTCATTGGTATGTATCCAGCATTGTATTTTGTTGAGGATCTTTTGATAGACGAGTGATACTTTTGCAGACCACCAAACTTCATGCTTACATGTCCAAGTTCTTACCCATCCTATCCTGTTCCTATCCAACTTAACCTATAGTGGGTTGGGGTGATTTCTAGCAAGTTACATGTGTTTCCAATGCATTCTAGAGGTTAGGGTCCTCATGGAATGATGAAGTATGGAATTAAGCAACAAAAAATGAGCGAAGATGCTGACTGTCTGTTGTCCCACTGTGACAGGACCAATAGTTGGCCATGTAGGTGATGGGAACTTTCACAGTATCCTGATCATTGACCCAAACAACCCAGCTCAGATCGAGGAGGCACATGTGTTACATGAACGCATGGCAAGGTAAGAAAACTTTACATGAACGCACGGCAAGGTAGGAAGACAGTGTCTTCATATTTATCACCTACATGTATTTGTTAATTGAATAAAGAGACTCTGTATTATTCGCACCAGATGTTGGGACCTAGTCCGTGGCCTGTGCCCAAGGATGGGCAGCAGGCCTTAGTAAGTAAATGTTTTATTCAGCCGACGTTTCGGTGACCTTCTGTCGCTTTCCTCAGGGTAATTCTGACTGGTTCACATTACATAGCACAGATGACGATGCTATAATTTAATAATAGATGCATTCCCAACATATGTATCTACACGGTTAAAGGAACTGCATCTATAATGCAGTCCCAAACGTATCTAGAGTATGTCATTGATATTCATACTTTGTGTATTATCATTATTACTTAGCGGGGTAAAAGAGTTCCTACCTGGTTTTACAAAAATGACATGACCAGACTGGTTTGATTCTGGTAGCACATCGGCAGAATGTACTGCACCTGCGCTGCGCGAAACCCGTAATGTATTGTGCATAGCACTTCGGTAGAACATCTCATATAAGGTTGTATTCAAGCATATAAGGTTAACACTCCATCAGAGCTGTAGTTTCCAAATCTTTTGTCGGAAAAAATATTTTCTGCAACAGGCAAAATTCTGATGCAACCTTGACCAAACATTCAACGCACACCGTAAAAAATCAGGGTTTTGCGCAGGCGCAGTATGTTTTGCCAACGTGCTGATTCTGGTGTCTTTCTCCACAGACGAGCGCTGGCGGTCGGAGGGACGTGTACCGGGGAGCATGGGATAGGTCTGGGGAAGCGACACCTGCTGAGAGAGGAGATGGGTGAGGGAACCTTCAGCGTCATGAAGGCCCTAAAACAGGCGCTGGACCCTAAAAACATCATGAACCCTGAGAAAGTCGTCCCTGTGTAACATAATAGAGATACATGAAGGTGTAACCAGCTCAATCTGCTGGATCTCGCTCTTTAAAAAAATCACGCTGAACCAGGAAGCCAAAATGAAAATGGGAGTTGGAAGTTTTTAAATTTTTTTTTTCTGATTCTCTTTCAAACTGTTTTTGTCTTGACCTTGCCTTTTACTTATTAAAATGTCTGTGATATAAAAGAAATAAATTGGTGTGGGCTTATGCACAATAGCTGTATGCCTCAGAAACATTTTTGTAGTACCAGGTATTGTCTGTCTTCACAAAGTGGAGTTTATCTGCGTGCAATTTCACCCAATTTTGTGTGTCTGGCTGAGATTTAAAAAAGAATAAATATGAAATAACCTTTCATCGAGTTATACTTACCGGTATAACAAGCCCTCTGTAGGGCATTTAGCCACCTGATTTTTTTAATGCTTTTACATGTATTTGCTTTGCAAATGCTAATGTTGCGTGGTTAAAAAAAATATTATATGATATATATTGTATGTTAAAGATATGCTTGATTGTGTTAGAAACACTTACTGGGGAGTGCAATGAATTTTGACAAATTGATAATTCTAAAATTGCCAAAATCAAAATTGTAAAATGATGCTGATATTAAATTTAGTCTGAGACTAGTATTAATGCTGCCAAGCAGCCCCCATAACTTGTTTCTTCAACATAAACCTAGACTTGAATTTGATTTGTAAAGGACCTGTACCATCCTGTTTTGCACGGTTTAAATCAGTCTTTTTCAGACTGATAGAGTATCATTCATATTGGTTTATTTGTACGTTGTAACAGTTACTATCAATGTGTCCACAGTGGGCAATTTTAACCCTATCTCTACTACAAACATTGTACAGTATTTTAGTTCATGACAGGACATGGATAGTTCTCGTATATGTGTGTACATTGGCATGATGTAACTGAATGCTACTATAGTGAATATTTTAACCCTTTCTATATGTACTAGTATCCAATCTTCTATATTTTGTATGGGGTATTCAAAACAGAGCTAGAGTGATTTTGGTATAAAGCACTCTTTTAGCAACAATTTTTAAAATGAGCATTCTTTCAAACTGAAAATTATTTTGTAAATAAAAAGAATACAATATATACGTGTGTACATAGATCTGAATCTTTGTCTCAGTACACAAAAGTTGTTGCAGGAACATGTACATATTAGATCGATATACCTACATTTTTATTTAGGTTTGGTAAATGCCATGTTTGATTGAAGCACTGAAAAGACCACGCACATTACTGTAATGACTAATAAAGAAACACAAACTGTTTCATAATAAAATCAGCACTTTATTGGAAAAGAGACTGTCGTTTGAGAATGACAAGAGGAAGACAGACCTGTACAGGAGTGTGTTGAAGGTCCATGCTGGGACAGCAAAGATTGGAGACAAAACTTACATGTACATTTCAGATAGGCATGCTGGCATTCCAACCAAGTCCTTGTAACTTGTAATTGATTACGTTTAAAATAAGTCACATTTATGAGAAGAAGCACTCTTGTTTGAATGCAGCCAATGGTTGCTATGGGTGTTTTGAGTGGCTTGGTTGGCTGCAACAGAATACCTATCAAAGAAACTCCATCCAGGATGGGCAACTGTCTTGCAGAAACCAACGTGTAGAGTACAGGGTCTAAAGAAACAGGGTGTTGACAGTCTTCACTGCCTGAATCTACAGGAAACTACATGACAAAGGATGAGACAATTAAATGGCATCTTTAATTGCCATTACTGCAAACATGTTTCGGTTGGAACGACTTTTCCCATCATCAGAGAATGTCTGCAGCAGTTTGATGTGGACCCTGTGAACACATATTGGTGTGCAAGAGAGCCGACAATGCTAGGATTGGACAGAAATCTAGTGAAGCTTGGCATGTACAATTGTGCATTGAAAATACAGTATTCCTGTGGTACATATATCACCATACATGGGTGATATCTGACCAGGAGGGAAGGGCGATATCTGTATAAATACACACCTGATAAAAATAGTAGCAGCGGTCGTACACAAACAACAAAATCACAGGTATTCCCCTCCCAGACTAATATAACAGTATAGTATTTACATTACATAAGGATTTCTTTGTTTAACTATAATGTTAGTAAAATCATCCACTTGGAAAATTGCTAACTTAAATTTTTCCTTCCCCTTCACAGTTGCCAGGCTCTAGTCAGCTTGGGTGACATTAAATTTACATGTATTTATACAAAGCAGATTGCAAATCAGCCAAAGGCTCTTCTCACAATCTTAGAGCCTTACATTACGCACTCAAATTAAAGCTGAAACAATAAAATCCTCCAAGATTTCATACAGGCAGAGATTTTGCTATATGCATAAGAAGGCAATTGGTGTGTATGGAAAAATGAGACATTGACAGTCTTACTGTAACCTCAATACAGTTTTGTAATGAAAAGAAGTTGCTACTTTTTTTTTAAATTGGGTATTAGCAAAGAATTGCTTTTGCTCAATATAGTCTAAATCAAGCTCTTTACACTCTGGTTATTGGTTTACCAATGGACTGGTAATGGCCTGACCATGTGGTGTCCACAATGGGCACTGGCCAGCAGTACATTTACACTATGTATCTGGCTTGTTATGTGCATTTTCATGGACCCCACCACACTTTGGAACATGCCTGTCCAGAGAAACTGATTTGACTTCCTTCCACGACAAAAACAAAATTCCTCATCAACGTCACAATTCTCAGCACTTCCCAGAAAAGCATCATCAAGTGGAATCGAGAAAAAAATCTTTTTATCTTTCATACAACATTCACCAAGCAGGAGGAGAAAAAATTTGATTTATGTACATACCAGTCTGCTCATGGCTTCTTGTGGCTGATTATCTGCCACCAACTTTTTACACATCGTACAAAAACGGGTGCTGATAAAATACAGGATTGCTATGCTATGCCCTCTTCTCTATGCCTCAATGCCTTGTGCACTTTTTAACCTTCTCTTCCAGCCTAATCCTGTAACCAATACAAATTTGGTGCCAAAAGGCAATTTCAGCAGAGAGAAGGTCAATAACACTGGTCACTTCAAATCTGGAGAGACACTGGAAATTTGAAGAATTTAACAAATTCATAAAATCAAATATACCTATGACAAACTTAGAATAATGATGCCAAAGATACACAGGGAGCACACTCATTACATAGCCATAAATTTGACTGTAGGTCATCTACTGAAAAAAATTTACATACAGGGCTTTAAAGCATGGAGCCATTGAAATTTGTTAAGTGGCTTACCGGGTTTAAAGTGACCAGGGTCAAATGGCATGATAGTTCCAAACTCAAGATCAGATTTGTCTTGAAAAACTCTGTATGGGTTTGCTACATGTACTACCTTATGACGCATAAGCCTAATTTAAGCTGAACAAAGGATCAAACCTACCCTTTCAGTAATCAATTGTCCATTCCTATGGTTTTTGAATGAACTGTCATTTTCTACTTATACCTGCTATGCAGGAAATTAACATGATTCAACAGGTACTAGTTTTGCACATACTTCTTAATTTAACATAAGCTCTGTTGATTGGAAACCAAGGGTGTTTATCACATACTTCTAACACATTGATAAGATGGCATTTTGCAGCTACATTTACATCTAAAAGCCTTCCCCACCCCGAAAAAAATAAGGAAAGAAAATACTCATTTTACTCCTTGGGAACAAATGGCTATTTTCTATGATTTGGTATCGTCAGTCTGTCTATTTCAAGATACACAATATTCTGAAAATTTGGTGCGTTTTCAGAAATCATGCTTGATTCTGGATTGATCTAGCAGGTAAAAAGGGTTTAGGGGTGGGCCACATGGTGGGCCATGTAAGGTAACCAAAGACTGGCTCAGGTGGCCCAGCTATGGTTAACCACAGTAACACAGCAGGTTCTCCTGGCCTGTCCTTATTCCTGTCCGAAGCCTTCTGTCTCTTCGATGGCGTAATTCAGTTTCTCCACCAGCTGCTCGTAGCTCTTGTACGGCGGCAAGTCCAGCCGGTTAAAACTACGCAAAATAAAAGGATGGTTTGTTATTTACGTTACGTTGTTTTTTGGCCACTTTCTATGGCACAAGTTCCCTTGCTACCTCTATGTTTTAGTCTGTTTTAGTCACTTCATGTTTTAGTCTTTCTTTAAGTGGCAAATAAGTTAGAACTACAGGCAAGGAAATCATATATTATAGTATAGGCTCTGCTCACCATGTGTGGCTGCGTGGAAGCCAGGTTTCCTTTCCCACCTTCTCTATACAAAACCTCTGGGGACCATTGCTCCCTGCAAGAGATACGTTACATCCATTTGTAATGATTCATCATTTCTATCATAAGTGTGTCCTGTCCAGTAATTACAGGTAAGTTTTGGCAATGCAGCAATGTTGAAGCTAGGCCATTGGCATATTTAATATACTGGAAGGTCAACATACCCATTAGCTCGGCGAATCCTCCCACAGGTAGCCTGCATGTGCCTGTCACAAACTGTAACAGTCGGGCCCGCTTCTCGTTGTCCAGTTCCTTCACATACTGAAAGGGAGAGGTAATGAACTGTAAGCTACAGTCTGAGAATAGATGTACATGATCAAGTGTATCTCTCATCTCAGCAAAAGCATCTTTCTGGTGTGATTTGACCTCATTTCATCATCATCATGTCAGGCTTGCCTGGTACAGAACTCTCCCTCCAGTCTGCTTGGTCAATGATGGTGCTTGCCAGGGTTTTCTCATTTCAACCTTTCTATACAATTATTAGACAAGCCTATTCTGTCTGTCAAGACGATGGACTGTCACCATGACAACCATCACCATGACAACTGTCACCATGACAACCATCACCATGACAACCATCACCATGGTGAAGAGAACCACCCACCTGCCAGAACCACTGGACCTGCTTGCTGTTGCGTGCGTAGTGTCTGTAGATGGTGTTCCTCTGCCAGTCGTTAATGTCAAACTCCTGCATGCCACACAGCATCAACTGGGGGAACAGGAGAAAGGAGGATATCAAGTTTTTGTGTAATCTATCCCAGCCATAAACTGTTATGAAATGTTTGCCATAAACCTTTTTTAGATTGCATGAATGTACATGAGCGCCCCCTACCTCCAGCTCCCTCTCGTCGAAGTACTGCAGCCACTGCAGTGGGACGACGTCGTTGAAGCCGTCCAGGAAGGCCTTGGTCTGCTCCTCCACACCACGCTGGAACCTGAGAATAAAATGGTCCTCACATGTAATCCACCTTCCACCACTTTTAAAAAAAGCAACTGTTTCATCTTGTGACTTTCTACGTCACGAACCTACGTTGACCTGAATCGAGTGAGGAAATTTTCACAATAATGGAAAGTGCAAGGGGTAACGAGTCAGGACCTTTAGATTCCAAGGTAGCAACTCTAATCAACATGGCAGCATGTCACTTAACCTGTCTCTGCTCTTCTGCCTAAACCTGCAACCACTAAAGAACTGGTAGCCAAAGGGCTACTTCTGTGTGCTAAATCTGTTTTCCAAAATGTGCTAAATCTGTTTTCCGAAATGAAGTATAGATGTTTAGGCCACACTAATTTAATTTGTTGGCTCTCAGATTTGCCTCTTCATTTTTTTCGGATTTGCACCCAACAGTTGAGGAAAGTTCTTTTCTTTCTAGTTCCTACAGTTTTTTCATCTATCAATGCAGTGGTTTGATTAAAATTTTAAATTAACCCTGCCCTTTGTGTTGACTTCATGGCTCCTAATGAAGCATTTGGTGCTATAATTGCCTAGACTTGTTTTTTTTTTCACCCTGTCGCTCCATATTCTTTATGAAAAAAATCAACAAATTAAATTGGTGTGCCCTTACCTCCAGTTGACCATGAGCAGGATGTACTCATCCTTGTTCTCCTCCGTGACACGAATGTTTGACCCGTCCTCCTTCAGATCCACGGTGGTCACCTTGCCCAGCACCTCAAAGTCGGCACAGAAGTACAGCTCCATGTCCAGCTCATCAATGTCATTTTCCCTGAGGGACAAACAGGATAGAGTTGTTAGTGATCAGAAATAGTTCTCAACTTCCATACCCTTCACTGAACCGCAACGGGGACTGACATTGTCTACCAGATACTTTTGATCCAGTGTTGACGTCACACTTCAAAGAAGCCACATGACAAGCCTCCCTGAGTCAGTCTACTGAAGAAGACCAGAGTGTGACTGGTCAAAAGCTCTAGGTCACTGGTGAGAGATCTAAAGTTGTGTTGGATCTAAAGTTTTAACTCTAAACAACTTCCATGCAAGTTGCCATACATTGCTACAAATTATCCTGCAGTGAGGTTCAATGTTTATAACTTCAAGCATCACAATGGCATCTTCTGAGAAGAGTTGGGTGGCCCTAGGTAAGCAATGGAAGCACATAACCCCTCCCCTATTCTGACAACTTTAAGAATGACTTCACAAAAGTCCCCACAGTTGCAGTCCACAACACGAATCCCACCATCACTTAACAGCCAAAAGTTTGCAGTAACATAGACTTACAATGAAAATAGCATGAGCGTGCACCCGATTTCACTGATCACACATAAGTGGAAAGACGCATAGAAAGAATTCCTTTTGGACTGCATGAGCCACTTACTTGATGAACTGCAGGGAGTTATAGAACTCAGGGTCGACAGACTCCAGGTCCTTCATTGTCAGCTTCTTGCTCAACATCTGCTTGTAGAAGGGCAGCGTGAAGCCGTTGTCGATGAACTTCCCATGGTACAACGCCTGTGGACACACACAGACTGTCTCAGACCACAAACATTACTTTCCAGAGCCACAGTAGGCCACACAAGGCTTGTAATAACCACCTGCAACATACACCAATCATCTAACCCATATGTTCTTATCTTGTTTTCACTGGGACAAAAACTATGTCAAAAATAGCATTAGTAGCAATATTTAGTCATTTTTACTGTTTATTACTTTATCATTTTCTTGCAATTAGCCCTCGGGCATGAATTTGCAATAAAGTTTCATATATTTTGTTTGACCCTGACCACTTCGCTCAATGAAAAGCAGCCAGCAGGCTGACTTGAGTATTGAGTAAAAACTGAAATAAACAAATTACGGAGAACATAAAATGCCTCCATCATGACCCTTAATGAAAAGTTGTCTGCAGTATGACTTTTGGCAACGTCTCAGGGAGGAGCCTAATGGTACAGTATTGTGTGCAGTTTGCAGTTGCATGGAATGTCCACAGGAATGTCTCCCAGCTCTGTTGACATGCTCACATTCCTGGAAACCCTTGGGAGAAGCTGTCTGCTGATGCCCTACATGTACTTTCTGTGAACCTGGGGCTCGTTCACTAAACATTCGGGGGAGGGTAGGGTACAAGGCTTCCTCAAAATCATGAAATCCTGGCAGTGCCATGCAAACAATAACCCTAACAGCAACCACCATCGACGTCATGTATGTTTTCATTGCCAGTCTTGTTAATCATTTGAGGCATAAATAACAAGGGCTTTCCTTCTCCCACCCACAAAAATAAGAAGACTTACCATGGCTATAAACCTGCCGATGAACCTGAAGTACATGAGGTGGTCGGGGTTGACTGACGAGGCCGGGTTGATCTGCAGACTGTAGTTGTTCTTGCTGGCGTACTCAAACAGGCAGTACATGGGGTTCAACACCTCATGGGACAGCATGAAGAACCACTCCCTAAAAAAAAAAAATCATCAGAAATATAAGAATTACCTCATCACGGCTCAAAATATGTTTTTTCTCTAAATGTTAATACCTAGTCTACAGTTTCTTTCCAAAGTTGCAAGTTTATTATGTTCACCGAAGGGAAACATATTGTTTTTGCTACGTTTCCTCCTCTTCTTCTTCCGTTCCAAAGACTGCCCTCTGACCTGGCCAATGACCTGATTTGTTGACATCTCTCACCATGGTAACTGGTGTTGGGTTACATAATGTTACAATTTTATAGTAGGAGGGATTTATACTCCTGTCTGACCATATGTATAAGAATGTATTTGAGTAAGAATTAACAGAGCGGACCATATGCGAAGGTAAGCATTATGCTTTGCCTTGCAAATGTTACCTTTCTGGTTGTAAATTCTTTAAGGAAAACCTTACAGGATACTAAGGAGACGAAGGCTACTCACTGATACAAGCTACTCATGTGAAGATGAGAAGACTTTAACAAGTAAAAGTTAGTAGGTTCTGCAAACCTGGCTATTCCACCATAGTCCAACCCTTCCTCCCCTCGGAAGATGATGTACAATCTCCTCCGCAGGTCGAATGGTTGTAACCGCATGATCTGAAACACACAGGGTCTTACAGTCAGGTATCCACTTGTTTTTTTTTTATAAAACTCTACCTCTAAAATTACAAGCAACAAGCTAGCAGATTCATACATTACAGTACCCAAACATGCAGTTGCTGTTAAAGCATGTTGGAAAATTGGCAAACATACATGTACATGCCACAACACTGATTCAGGTGCTATGTCGATTTAGTCAATAATATCTATAATCTACAACTCACCTGGTGGAAGGAATCTTCAAAGACAGTTTGCCTGGATACGCTTATCTTGACGTGGCTGGGCAGGGCATTGGACTGTAAGAAAATAAGACAAGTACGGTTGGTTCACCACCGAAGAACTCCACTTTATAAATCAAATCTCATGGGGTAAGCAAAATAAACCATCTATTGATAAAGATAAAAACTATAACAACAACAAAAACATCTAGTTGACGTACCTGACAGAGATACCTGAACTGTCCCAGCTTCCATCTGAAACTTCTCTCGTAGGCGATGGGCACTCCGTATGCTCCTTTGGGTCTGAAGGGGGAAGAAAAAGGTAATCTACTAGAGGCTTCCATCCGTGACTAGTTTCATCAGGTTGGTAAGACACTGAATAAAGAGACTCTTTTTTACACAACAACGAGGATTTGTTCAGCCGACATTTCTGTGACCGTCTATTACCTTCCTCAGGCTTCCATTCTAAGATTGCTAAGGCCATGTTGATTTGATTATATGGATGACATCTGTGTGTGCATGAAATTTCGGCCATTTCCCCCCAAAAAAAGTTTTCAACCATACTGTTCATGTAAATCGTACAAAACAGTTGCAAAATGAGCAAATATATACCCTAAGTTGAAAAAAATCATTGGAAAACAATACCAATGTCGTAGAATGCCAAAATCAATGGAAAAATACAAAAATGTAAAGAAATGAATTTGAAGACTAGATTATTCACCATACCATACTCTGTGTCATTTGTTCAACCTTCAAACCCCATAGATTTCATAATGAAAGCAACTTTTTTGGGGGGGCAAAACTTTTTCTTTCGCACACTTGCATCAGTTTTGGGGTTCCCAGAGGATGTCATCCATATAATCAAATCAACATGGCCTAACTGAAATAACAGGCATGTGATTGACAAAAGCCCATCCGCACCCTTTGGCTGTTGCACCACTCCTGGGGTCCTGGAATGTGGTTGTCCGTGTGTTGTGGTCCACGAAGTACCTGACTCCCTCCGCCGTGTATCTCATCTCCCAGCCCTCAGGCAGCGGCTCCTCATTTACCGCGCTTCTTCAGTAAACAAAAACGTGCAAAACACACAAACAAAACGTCAAGATCCTTAGAGTGGATGTAACTATGACAACATTTTTACCTCCAATGTAAGGTTCTTCGGCTCATTATCAAAGTAAAGGGCTTCCAACACAGTGCCTAGGAAATTTGAGCAATCAACTTAAAACTTTAAATAATCAGTGCTTAACAATGACTTCACAAACCCCCAAACTGGGAATATCACATGCAGAGTCTTTAGCGGTGGCCTTGGGACAAACCCCTTCACACCCTTTATCATCAGGTGACACACTAAAGCAAGGTTAACCCCAAACAGACCCCTTAGGAAACCCCATACCCACCCTTCAGCTGTTGCACCACTCCTGGGCTCATCGTTTACTGCACTTCTTCAGGAAACAAAAACGTGCAATACACGCATACAAAACGTCAAAATCCTTCAAGTGGATGTCATTTCACTTCTCTTCAGAAACAACACATACTGAGCTAAATGCACAAAGGATGGGAACTGCTAAAAACCCATGTACAAAACAATCTTTGAGGTGATCCAAACTCAGCCAGCAAGTCAATATGTTTCACTCAATGTGCCATTTTTCTCTTCACAGCAAAACTTTTTTTCATCAATTTCCTAACTCTTCTGAATGATTCACTCAAACTAGCTCTACATATTCATGTCCTCTGATATGAAATCAACACGTTCCATGACAGGAATATATGACAATCTGGACAATTTGCTTTCCATGTATTTGATCAAAAAACAATTTGTTGCTTGAAAGAATTTTGAATCTCTCAATCCCCTGGGTTCTGACTGTGAATAAAGCCTTACAGTTTGGGAGAGGGGAAGGAGTTGATATAGCAGCAGCCAAGACTAAACCACCTACCCCTGTGTCCTGGGGTCCTCCCACTGAGTTGTTCTGGTGTTGTGGTTGACAAAGTAAACCCTTCCGTTCTGCTCTCTCTTTTCTGGTAGACAAAGAAAGAAGGGATATCAACCAAACTTAAACTGTGTGGGGTTGTACGTACACTGCACAAAGCAGTTTCCCTTTTTGGCCTATAGGGTTGGATATTATTTTTTTTAAAATCCAAAAACTATTTCCTGCAATAGGTGGTACACAATGCAAAACCCAAAACCTTAAATTTTGTAGCCACCAATGTTTTTCCAGGATCCAGTTGGGTATTTCAAACACCGTGAGTACGGGAGTGTGTATGTGTTTGTGTGTGTGTGTGTGTGTGTACATGTTTGTGTGAATACAAGTGTTAATGTGTGTGTGTGTATGCTTACCCCAGCCAGGAGGCAGCTGGCCCAGCGGGTCGTCTGCAGCGACTGCGTTGGTCTGCCAGAGAAAGCGCTGCTGGTACTGCTGCATGGCGGCCGACTGGTGCTGCGTCCGGTACTGCTGCCACTGCTCGTAGTTCCGCACCGTGTCCACCGTGGGGCGCTGCCAGGTGGTGGTGCGCGTGTTGTGGTCCACATAGTAGACTCTGCCCCGGGGGTCCACCCGACGCTCCCAGCTACAGTGTCATGGAAAATGGGAAGCGCCTTTTTGTTAGATAGTCTCAAACTAGTTTAAAGCATTGGCCATACAGTGGGTAACGTAGTAAGAATTTGGAACTAGGAAAAAGGTTAAGCTACAGGTGGTAGGAACAAATGTTTAGGTGACCCAAAATGCCTCACCATCTCTTTGCTAAGGTAAACCTTCTGTACTAGAAACTAATTACAAAGTAGGTTAGAATGAAGAGGGTAACGGTTTATGAACTGTGACTGACCCAGGTGGCAGGGGCTGCGGCCTCTCCCAAGTGGTAGTTCTGGTGGTGTGGTCAACATAGTACGCTCTGCCATGGGGGTCTATCCTCGTCTCCCAGCTAAACAACAAACAAACAAACAAACAAACAGCCATAAATATCTCTTATATGTAAATGACATTTTACAAGTATCACTTATATGTCAATGAGGTTAGAAATGTTGGCAAGAGGAAGTATCTACAGTTACTGACCCAGGAGGGAGAGGCTCCTGCCCAGGTTGTGTGGGGCCGTTCTGGGGCGTGGTGTTGGACGTGTCACTCGCATCTGGAAATCAGGGAAACCAGGGGAGTTTAACACATGGAACAAATACATACGTTATTCAAATTTAAACATATCTGGTAGCATCATCATTTGTTTCAACCTCCAGCATGCCATGAAAGCTGTGTGACCATTGGTTATGCAGCTGGGAGAAGGTTGATACAGACTCTATTCACGCATTGCACAATCTTGCACCAAAGCGAAGCTTGGACGGCACGCAAGACTGCGAGGTTAGTGCTGTATTTACCCAGTCACAAATATGCAAATGAATTGTTCATTAATATGCAAATACAGGCTCCACTGAGCAAACGATCTCAGGGACGCCATTTTGTTTTGTTTTTGTGTAAACATGGCTGTGGCGTATTAACAAAACACCTAAAACATACGGTAATTCCTTATTTTTTCACTGTTAGTAGTGTTATGTTCACTGTTTTCACTGTCACTTCTGTACCGTGAACTTATCATTACAGTTAACATATAATTCCTGGACTTTCTTTTTTGTGCACCTGTCGCCACCGTGAACATACAGTTCCGTGAACATGTCCATTTTTCTCAGACTGTGAACTTTTGCTACCGGGAACATTAAGTAGTTTTTGAGTTGCACTGTGCCCACCTGGAGGAGGGCCTGCAGGATGAGGGTTTTGCTGTGAGGACTGGCCGGCACTTGGCGGTTTGCCCTGCTGTCTGCTGCTGGACTGCGGGGAGTTGCTGGCTGCTGCGGCCCCTCCTGCTGCAGCGGCTGCTGCGGCCCCCGATCTGCTGGGTAGGGGCGGGGCCTGCGAGCTGGCTTGTGACGATAGATCAGCGGACGGCGGAGACGGGGCCGGGCGAGAGGCGCGGGATCTCGCACCTGGAAATGGCAGGGATTATATTCATAGTGTCATTATAGTGAAGACCACTGTTCTATATCAATATCAACCAGCATAACTGGACAGGATACAATCATGACAATGAACACATTCACACTAAATGGGACAAATTCACTAGGTTATTTCTTTTAATTAAAGTATAAGGGTAGGAGAAAGAATTATTAGGTTACTATGTTACATCTATTTCTACAAGGTCTCACATACACCACATATTATTATAAGAATCTAATAATAAGGGATATTCATCAAGTGCACAAGAAGATTTATCTTTTAATCATGAAGTATTGGGGAGGGCCAAAGATAAACCACCAGGTTTCCGGCCCTCCCATGCATGTCTACTTATTTTTCAATTGTTATATTTTATTTTATATTTGTGAATGCAAAACAAGAAATAAACAAACAATAAAAAACAACAAGAAGCCATAGGTGACAATCCTCCGTGAAGTAACGTTAGTTTTATATATTTCAACAAGATCCCAAGCGTCAACGCCAGACCTACTGTGCAGACATTATAATTAGGCAACGGTTAATACAATGAGGGCGCGTCACAAGCATAAAACATACAAAGAGCTAAATCCATTACTGCTCCCAGGGCGTGTAAAGATACTGTGCTTCAAGTTCGAAGTTCATTTTAATTACACACACACAATCATTGCATTCACATAAAGACCGGACTATCATGGTCGTGTCTAGTAACAAACACAGCCCCACCGTCTTACCGTGCCTGTACCTAATTAAGCGCGCCTGGAACAGGGCAAATTCCAGCAACAGTTGCGGTAAGCACCGCGAGTGTTACTACCGCCGGCCAGATAACCAGGATATCTGCTTACAGTAACTCTGCTACCAGACAACTGCCTAAACCTATGGCCTATTCCACAGGATTGGAAAAGTAGGGATGTTTCTAAAATATGCATTTACTTCAATATCAAAACAGCTACGGTAAAAATAAAAAGACGTGCATCATCCCGGACATTATGCCACACCACATGCGAAATTACACAGAAATGCGACGTACGGAAGAATGCGTTTTGGCTGCGAACATCTTCCAAAAAACTTGGCATCTCTTAAGCATGGGCAAAAACATCTGGAACCACTTATCAAAACCACCCCGTATCTGCATGAAGTTCCACCCCCCCACTGCTATTCCAAACAACGCGTTTTTCTGGACCATTCCAATTCGCCTCGTAATTGTAGGGGTGCGTCTGCAATATTACATTGACCGCGAAAGCAGCAACGGCAAAAATACACATTCGTGCATCAACACGGGCACGCCCGCAGACGGCATATAAAATTGCGTGCCGATTACACAAAGAGAACCCAGTGTTTTGACTGCGAACATGAAAAATCAGCCGATCACAACACTCCGTCCGGAGGTCCTGACCTCCTTCACGGAGTAATAAAGAAAAGCCCTGTAGACAGGAAAGTGACCCACCTGACTGCTCAGTGTGTCTGGTGTTGGGGGTGGACATATTGCTGGACGGGCCATTCTGCTGGCTGGTGGGGGTGGAGGCGTCCCCCTGACCACGGGACACCTCTCCGTTAACGTGTTGTCTGCTGCGCTCTGGAGTGCCTGAAGGTAAAAAAAACCACAGACGTCAGCACTGTGAAGGGTACTGCTTCAAACATTTGCAAGTTCAGCAAAGTCTCAGCATAACTAACAGCACAGCTGTTTTCATTCCCCTCTTAGAACACATTGATCAATTCAACATCAAACCTACATGACCATACATAAAGACATCAGGAGAAAATTGGTTAGAAGCAAGCTCTTTAAATCAACAGTAAAAAACTTTCTAGCACATTCATGAACAAGTTGAATGCTAATCTTTCAATATAGCTCTGTTAAATCTGGAAGATAATAAATGTCGATAGATGTGGCAACCTTCTGCTAAAAAGCAGTTCATTTTTTTATTCCTTTACAAACAGGTCAATCTAGCTAAGAATGTCAATAAATCAAAATTCAATCAACATCATGATGGGGTCTACAGAAATTGATTCAAGCTAAAACATCGCCATTATGACTATCCTAAGTGATTATCATAGACATACACACAAACGTTAAGGCAAGAAACTGTATAGTTCACATTTCTAGCACACATTTCTAAAGGCCTGTTGGAAACAGGTAGGGAAGTTACTGCAAGGGGGTACTAAATGCACACGTTGTTTGGATGCATTGTTCTTGGCAGAAAGCACTTATGCGAAGTTCAACTCTGTATCTAGCGGGACCTTCAGACCAGTAAACTTACCAAAGAGTGAGAGAAGAGACCTAGGCCTGATGGGCCTAGATGGAAGTAACCTATGACCCCTAGAACTAGGGGTATCTTCTGTGGAATCGGAGGAGGAGGAGGGGGCTACAGACTCATCCCCCGCTGCAGAGGGAGGGGCTAACACACGTTCCCACCAGCAGCAGGGAGATAGAGAGAGAGACACACACAGAGAAAAGAGCAGACCTGTCAGATGTGTCGCATATGGACACAAGTCCAGGGGGCACAAGCAGTAAGGTGAAGAGCTGAGTGGCTGGGATATAGGTAGAAAGGAGGGAGTATAGACAGGGTGTAGAACAGCTTGCCAAGGGGATACAGAAGCAAGAAGGGGTTGGTAAAAGCAGCGAGAAGAGGTCAAAGCTTCCAGGGAAAAGAGAAGCAGGAAACGTAGCAAAGATTCACATGGGCTCTCAAGGGAAAAAGAGCAGCACGGAGAAGAAAGTTTTGGAAAAAAGGAAGCAAGGGGAGCTGCTACAGCATTGTAGGATATAGGAAGGAGGTACAAGAAACAAGAGGTGGGAATAAGGTATGGCAACATTCAAAATCTTTACCTCTCCTTACTGTTTACCTAACAAAATTTTGCAGCTAGTCTGCTTATCAAGAAAAAATGATTGTGTTCAAAGAGGATATTCCGACAACGAGTCACCCTTGTGCTATCAAGCCAAGCAGAAGAGAAATCTACAGTTTGTCTCAACGTTTTGATACAAAATGCTGGAAGTGTTTACCGGCTGAGGCTGCTGTGCCGTTAGCCATGTGCTGGAAGTGGCCCTGATAATGCTCCATGTTGACGTTCATACCGTCCAGAACCAGCTGCAGGTCTCCTGCACGCACCTGCACATTCTTCACGTTCAGCTGCAGATCTTTTTTCAACTCCAGGTTAGTCACTGTCAGACAAAAAACAATTGTTTCATGGTTTTAAAAATTTTACATACACATGCACATCAATCAATAGTTCTTGCTTAACAATAACAACCTACATTTAGAGTTTGACGTTAGGAAGAGCATCCAGTCAGTAAAAACCTTGCTTCAAAAAAAAAAGTCTTGCACAGGCTTGCTGTTGTGCACCTCAGCATGCTGAGGGGCAAAATGACAAGCCCAAACATGCACCTGTGCAAGCACGTCTATACCCCCGAATCGGGGAATCAATAGACGTAAAACTCGGATAAGAATTTCTGCACAACTTCTCGAGTGTCACTAATAAAAGGTAGTAGATGCTACCTGAAATGTCTGACTTTCCAAAATCATATCCAGTTGCTTGACTAACTGTTTTTTATTACCTGGATGTCTAACCTTCACCGACGTACTTGTACACATACTTGTAATAAGTTGTATGATATATAAATCATTAGCAATGTATTAAGAAATGCTTTAAAAATGCTAATTTGCTCTGTGCAATCTGCATATTGACAAAAACTGAAATTGCAGGTATAAAATCCATTGCCAAGTGTTGCAAACTACAATGTATGATCAAAATCAAAATCCAAGTAAATTGAGCTAAAGATAGCTGACATAAGCTTATCCAAAAGGTAAAATTGGGTTTCTATAGAGATTTGGTAAGTTTATGCCATGAGCTACATGCTTTAACATGTTAATGAAAGTGTAAGTTGATAGCAGGGATAAGGTTTCATTCAAGCCTGCTTTTTGAAATATACTTGGAAGACTTACGTTTCCCACTGTTTTCCCTTAGAACAGGGTACAGGTCAAGGTGCAGCCTCCCCATCAAGACGTCTGTCTTTAGGTTGAAGTGGTTAAAGACACTGAGCTCGAGTTTGCTGTAAGGAGTCACCAACCTGTGAAGCAACAATAAAACAAACACCTGTGTCATCTGTGTACTGTACTTGCTATAGTTTTACTTATTCTTGCTCTGTTCCAAGACAAGTACTATAGCGTAACTGTATTGAGGGATGTCCAATGTACCCAAGTTGCATAAATATGGTAATAACAATGTTTGATATCATTATTCTATAGCTGTTTTAACAACCGTCCTCAAGATTACCAACAAACCCTTTGAAAGCTGCCTCTCAAAATGTGTGAAATAGAGCTTCAGATGGTTGCATGTTTCCAATGCTGAGGGCTTACAGGCCTCGAAATGAACTTCTGTTCCTACTGTCCCAGCACTGTCCCAAAAATAAATTTCAATTGTCCCGAAGTTAGGATGAACTGTCCCAACCTGTTTTTGGGAAGTATTGTATGACGTCAACTTTATTTTGCTTATGTTCACTCCCAGGCGCACTATAATTGCAGTGTAGACAGGAAATTTGGGGGGGACTTTTCCGGATCCAAAAGCCGGGATGTGTGCCTGATAGACAAAGAAGGGTTAACATTCTGATGTTGATTATTTTTCTATTGTCACAAAAATGTCCCAAAGTGTCTTTTAGTTGTCCTAGCCTAAATTTTAGTGGTCAGTGGCCATTGGACCACCCTTAATTTCGAGCCCTGACTTACACAGTGAAGTGTTCATTCCAGGTGGGGGTGAGAGTTTTCTTGACCACCTCAGTCTTCCTGGGAGGCTGTCCATCCACACTGAGCTCGACGTAAGGATCAGGCTTGCTGGCAAACCAGCCACCACCAACATCCTTCAGTTTGGCCGAGGTGACTGACAAACAAACATGACAAACAAGTTTGTTAAATCTTATTTGTGATTCGGGCAATAAGTCAGTGTGATGGGTTTGCTTAGGCGAAGCTCAAACTAAAGAAAGAACAATAATGGATTACAGATCTTGGTTTAATCGGTACACCTGCAAATAATACAGAGTTTCAAAAGTTTTGACTGTTTTCCAGCAATCCTCTTTGGTGAAAAAAAAAGATAACTGAAAGATCACTTGCTTAACGTTCCTAAACCACGAACTATAGAAAAGACTGCTAGAATATACCATGGTACATGTATAGCAGAACCGCTGGCAAATCTTTTCTTCTTTAGTAAAAACTCAGGAAACTACTCACTTGTCACCTGGAGCTGGGAAAAAGATGGGTTCTGCGCATCCGACATCTTCTCAGTCTGTTTACTGAGCCTACTGGAAATGTTTGAAAATGGATTTTAAACAACTGTGGGATCAAGTTTCATGATGATGTATATTGTTTATTAAATTTTCTGACTGAATGCCAACAAATTGAATAGGTGTTACACCCAAAAGGGACCACACATTGTATGTTACAACTGAGCTACAAAATGTAGTACCTTTGCTATGCTGTGGTGGCTGCACCTGTGGTTGTGAGGCTGAAGGCAAGTTTGACAGTCAGGTTGTGGGGGGCGATGGCTGCCAGGGCCACAGTACTGCAAAACTGGAGAAACACCAGGAAACAGCTTTAATTTACACACCAGTACAACTTACATGTACAAGACTCAACCAGTGAAACAAGAAACCTACCTCTTATGCTTGGCTGCACATAAACAGAGAGCAGCAAATTTCATTACTGTTTCTGTAACAAAGTATTTTTAACATACTCAAGTCCAGCCTTAAGCTTAAACCTTAAAGTAAATATAACATGCAGTGCCAAATAATATTGTCCAAATTGCAAATTTCAGGATCTGTAGTTTGTTAGTTACTGCCCCTAGCAGACACATTAGCACTCTCTCTGAATAGTCTGATATGACCTACATAGAATTTGCTTGTAGCCTTTTTAGGTACCTTTTAATGCATATCATCATATCAAATCCCAACATAAAACCAGATGACCTATAAGATATGTTAATAGCAATCATACTGCCAGGTATACCGACTGCTAAACAGTCTGTATGTTATAATACAAAAACCCCTAAACCACATTCACAGCCTTTTCTTGTTAAAAATGCAGGCTTTGGTAATCAAACAACAGGTTTGAAATACTTCCACTTTTGCCATGTTAAGCAACTGTGGTTTCCACATAAAAAACAATCAACATCAATATCATTACATCTACAGAGCTACATTTTATAAGGACATTTGAATAATTTAGCAATTTTTCTAATCAAACAACTGGAAACACAGAGCGCGACACACACAAAAAGACGCACCAAGACAATACATTTGCACTTCACTCCCTTGGGACATAACAACAATGAAGTATTTTGAGCCCTCTTCTTGGAAAAGAGCTGTAAGATGCCAGAGTTCATACGAAAAATGAGGTATCAAAATGGCAGTGAGCCTGAAGGCTGAAAAAAATCAATAAATACAGGGCCAAATGTCTGAGTCATACTTGTACATGTATTGCCTTGTACACCATTTCATATATCAGCACTTTTTATGAGGAACGTGTGCGTGGGATTTAATTTGATTTGCTGCAGATGTCAGACCCAAAGATACCTCAGACTTAGTCTGGAATTTGTTGAAAGGCTTCATGTTAGAGTAAATTTGAAAATCACTAGTCTAGATTCATGCTATGAATGTATCATGTTATATACATGTACATGTATACAGCTATGATAAGATGACATGAGATCTTGACTTCAAGCTTAAACTGTAGATATTACTACTGTTATCAATGTCAAAATGTCTTTTGAACTAGGAGATTAAGGTTTGCAGCCTTTACAAATCATGTATTCCAAATAATGTAATTTAGTGCTTCTCATATAGACCTGGTATGCCAGGTCTATATGAGAAGCACTAAATTTGTTTTGAGTAAACATTTCATAACAAGCCACATCCTGGTATCTTTAAATACTTATAAAAGCCTGAATTCAATATATATCATCATATAATCATCTATCACTCAGCAGCAGATCAGTCATCTTTTAAAAGACATTTTTCTCATGATGACTGATGCTTGTGCAAAGTCTGTATAATTTATAAAACTAAAAGACTTTTATTTAAAAGGTTCAGTTGTGTATGAGGGTGATGATTGAATTTTGAGCCCTGCCAGTGTTCCATTATGCGAATAAGGAGAACAATAATCCATTTGGTGATTATTATGATTCATCGTCTATTAACATGCCAAAATGGTCTGCTACCAGTGCTAGGCTGTAAAAACTTGATTTTGTGGCTGACATCTGTTTCTGCAGTAGCTGTCTGAACTACCACTCCAAAAAAAGAAAGGGAATATGGCAGTCACAGTTACCTAATTCAGTGATTGTGGCAGGCCCTGACAGAAACACATGAAGACTTGTTCTTCTCCTTTGTCATCATCAACTCAATGAAAAAGAGGTCACTGTTGTAAATTGCTGTGCATAGGCCCTTCTGGCAACATGTGAGGACAAAGGTCATCTTCTTTTTTTCAAATCAAGTATCTTCTGTTAATGTGTTATGCACCAACCATGCTGTCCAGTTAAATTTGAATTTTGATGTTTTTTAAAACGTTTACCATGTTTGGGTAAAACGAAAATCCCTAGCTTGGATTCTTAGTGTATATTTTTTATGTTTGCGTACTGTCCTGATGGTAATTGGGTAAGGGATGTGGGAAATTCAGGAGAGAGTAACAAAACTGATATCTCAAAAACAAAAATGGGGAGAAACAGTGCATTCATTCTTTGTAAGATGTGCATTGTCATAAACACTTTGGCCACGATTATCACCTGTTTTCATATGATAATACTAGTATTTATAGGCATTAAAATTGTGACAGATCATGTTTGTTTTCATGCTTTCACACCTTTCAAGGTTTATTCAAAACATGTGCTTCATATACAATGAGATAATGGTGACTGTGCAATCATTGACAATTGTATTGTTCTGTATCATCATGGTAAGGGTCTTCAGATGATGTCATCCATATAATCTAGTTTATAGAGCAAATATACACATAATAGTAAATATCAAGTGATTTGTCGCAACGTGAGCTTGTTTTCAACTGTTTATTGCCTTTGCGACAGATTATATGAAGAAATTACAATTGTTATTATGCCAACATCATTTGGGCAGTTTAACGGCCAATGCCATGTGTCAAATTATGTTCCTGTAGCTTGTTATGTAACAACTGGCCAAAACTGGTTCTCCTCAAACCCAAGTTTTCACACTTGGCGAGTGAACTGACCCTAGGCCCACATTCTCTCGTTTTGTTAACAACACCATATTTAGCAACTCAATTTGGAAATGGTGTTTTCCCAAGATTGAGGCTGATAATCTTCACATCAAAAACAATCCACAACTGCAGCATGGTATCGAGGAAGTTTGTTGTTACCACGGTTATAACGTTTGTCTCGCAGCATAAATTTTGGTTGAAACACGAAGGAACGCACCAGCACTGACTTCTACGCCACGAAACATGAAGTTTTGGGCTTATGTCATCGGCGATATGACATCAGACAAGTGCCTTGCACTACTATATAACATGGCTTTCTATTTACGCTATCAGCTGTGTCTTCTTTGGAGTTAGATCTGGCTCGCCGTGTCTTTTGTCCCTGTTTTCTGCCACCAAAAGGAGCAGCGGGGACTGGCTACGTCTGGACGTCGGCCATTTTGGAAAGGAATTGGTCAGATGTCTGAACACAAAACAGGCAGAATCGTACACGCATAGAATTATAATCTGCCAAAGTGTGATCATTTATACATTAGGAAGCTTACCTCTGTTAATTGCGATTCTTTGTTCAGCTCCTACCGTCGCCAAGGGGATAAAATCCTGTGAAAAACTGCTGGTCCTGTCTAGCTCAGACGACGTTTATTTCCGCCATACCATCGGGGCCCGGCCTGGTCACGTGAGAGTTGGTCATGACGTCACGTCAGATGGTAGCTTGGCACCAGGCACGACAATCAGCCGCGGATTCCGCCAGTTTTACAAACAAAACTGAATAGAAAATGATAAATAATAATAAAATGAAATGATTAGAACATGTTAGATATCGTTCAAAGGGTTACGCCTCCAAAAAAGTTTTGTTTTTTGGCAGAAACTTCCAGGCGACCTCGCCGCTATGAATCATGGGATCAGTCATACCGATATGAAGTAATTTCTCACTGATAAGGTATCGATGTTAGTGTGAATATCATAGATTAAACCTATCTTAGCATTTTGAATCCAAGGTTAGTGTCATTCTGGCGAAAAAATTAAATTGCTTGCAAAAAGAATTGTGCAGCCAACAGCCAATAACAGTATCTGTAACATATAAAACAGTAAACCTGTTTGGTCTTAGGTAGCTTCTGATTGGCTAACAGTAATTTCATCATGGCGGAAGGAAAAGTGGACCACGTTGTGGTGGATTCGGGTGCTTTTATAAGAAATGCGCCCATTCGGGTAAGTCTTTTCATACAACAATTGGAGATAATGCGGATGAGATCGTGGTACAGATGATGCCGTAGTTTTTTTTTGGTACCGAAACCCACGAGTTGCTCAGTGATGCCCAAAACTTGGGCATGGGTCTGGCTGCTCTGCTGCATGTATGCACGTGTGTCGGCCGTGTGTTGGACACGAGTTGAAACGTACGTCGACGAATTATCTAGCTCTGAGCAAGGACAACATGTGATGAAAGCTCCTTGCTCAGAGCTAGACCGTCGAATATATAAAATTGAACATTGATTTGACCAGGTGCTAGTATTTATTCGTCTCGAATAGACACTGAATATAGTAAAAGCTGAAAATTATTCATGGTTCATGGTTGCACATGATTCACCTTTCTCTAAACTTTACTTTTCACCTGAATAATTATACTAGTATAACTTAAGTATTCACCTTTAAAGTTATGAAATTTTAAGTTAGCCAGGTTTATTTTGCGGAGACGACCAAAGAGACTTGGGAGCTAAAATAGCTTTGGTAACCAGGCTAATAAAATTTATGAGTAGGGTCATTGTAGAAAATTTTCATTCTTGTCAGTTGTACATTGTAACATTCAAGCTCAAGTCTATTATGCAGAGATATACAGGAACGTCGGGTAAATTCAGGCAAAGATTGCCGTTCTGTGATGAACAGATGACGAGACTGAGTAGAGGGTCATCACCCCCTCCTAGTGATGTCTCCATGAGGCATTTGGACTGAGAACTGGCATGAATTTCCCACATAAACTGAATCGCACCGTTCTGTCGAATGAAAAATGTTCAGTAGATATAATAGGAACCATTTAATGTTTGGTTCTATATGATAAATTCGTTGCAAGCTAATGAGGTACAGTTGCAGAATGGTGCCACCAAATCTGTATTGGCTACAGGGTTGTGCTGTGGGGAGGTTGAAGTTAGAATGCACTGTAATATGAAGTGTCCCTATATTTTTACAATTACAGGACATTGCAGAGAATGTGTACAGTCTACAGGGGGTGGTCTCTGAAATCAGAGACAAGGAGACAAGGCAAAGACTGGAGGTGCTGCCATACCAGATCGTCTTTAAGGAACCAACTGTAGAGAATGTAAGACAAGGTTGGTAAAAAAAATGGCATGGAGCAAGTTAGAAGATTATATTACTCTTGAGCCATGTGATAAAGAGGAAGGGGGTGGGGGATACATCCGGCCAGCCATTCTGTGATGAACAGATGACGAGACTGAGTAGAGGGTCATCCCTCTTTGTGATGTCTCCATGAGGCATTTGGACTGAGAACTGGCTGGATTTTCACCATTGGAGTGTGAGTCTCTGACTGTGCTGTGGGGTGAATGATTCAATACACTGTAAAAGCATAATTTCTTGTAAAAGAAGCTTTCCATTAAAACTTTCTTGCATGTGGAGCCACGTCCTTCCCCAAATGTCACTACATGTCTCTTTGACATGCCTACATGGCACTCTCAAACCTGAGAAATCCAACTGCTCATTCTAAATATTTATCATTTACAAATTGTATAATATGGTGTAAGGACAAAAAAAAATGAAATTGTGTGAGCTAATGTTTAACCCTTGTCTGACCCACCAGTAACAGAGTTCTCTAAGAAGACAGGAGACTACCCGAGTCTGTCGGCTGTGGACATAAAGGTGCTGGCCCTGACATTACAGCTGGAGAAACAACATGTGGGCACAGAACACATCAAGACTGAGCCTGAGAAAAAGGTATACCGTACCTCTGATTGTGGTTATCTAAGACCCATCATTGTTGGTGTGTTACGCCGAAGGGCAGTTATACCAGCTATACTGATACAGATACAGAATGTGTCATGGCAAAGGCTGTCTCCAACATCTGTTCCTTGGCACCTGGACAAAAGTTTGCTGTTCTATGATGAAGTCATACAACAAGACTGAGGAGTTTGGGGCTGCCCCCCTCCCTTGTGATGTCTACTTGAGGCATTTGGACTGAGAGCAGCCTTCAACTTTTCACTTAAACCTCATTTTATAGAACAAAGACAGAAGCGGTCACACACTAAATGTTTATGATATAGTTTTGCTCTTTTCTTTAACTTAGATAATTATTTTCTCCACAGCCAACCTACTTTGCTACCCAGAAGCCCCTGGAGAGAGTAACAGACCTGCCAGGCTGGGTTGTCACACCTCGTCAGGTAAGTCATGAGTCTAATGTCTCTACTGTAGGTGGGTAGCTTGGAGTCTGACTTTTACGTGTCCAGTACAAAATGGTCTCGAATTTTTGTTGATGTTAAAGTTTTTTAAAAGTAATTTCTGTTAAAAACTTACTGTTCAAATCCTTTATATAGTTACTGCTGTTCTATGATGAAGTCATACAATAAGACTGAGGAGTTTGGGGCTGCCCCCCTCCCTTGTGATGTCTACTTGAGGCATTTGGACTGAGAACAGCCTTGTACTTTACACTTCAGTTTCATTCTAATACTAAGGCCACACCAATTTAATTTGTTGGTTCTCGGATTTTTTCAGAAAAAATATGAAGCGACAGGGCGAAAAAAAATAAAAATAAAAGCAGGTCTAGGCATCCTATTATAGCCCCAAATGCTACAATATGAGCCATGAAGTCAACAAAAAAGGCTGGGTTAAAATTTGAAGTATAAATTTTGAACTTGCACTGCATTGATAGATGGAAAAAACTGTAACAACTAGGAAGAAAAGGAATTTCCTCAACTGTTGGGGGCAAAATATGAGCATTTTTTAGTTGATTCAGAACCAGAATCTTTTTTTTTTTTTTTTTGCAAATCAGAAAAAAATCAGAAAAGAGGCGAATCCGAGAACCAACAAATTAAATTGGTGTGGCCTAATAGTGGTATTTTTCACAGAGATATACATTACTGTGTACTGAATACGGCTGGATTAAATGTCAATTTGAAAACCATAAAAAAGTAGCTTTGCTAGCATAGATCTCTTTTGTAACCTTTTATTCTGGATCCAAACAGGATAAAGATGCACACCTCATCTCTGAAGGTCAAGTTGAAGATGGTGATTTGGGTCAGGGCACAGAGAAGCAAAACGTTTCACAGGATGGTGACCAGACTGCTGATGATGATGATGAGAAAGAAGATGTGGAGAAAATTGTGGAAGAACCATCAAACTCATCAGAGGGTAAAAAAGATGATGTTGAACCAGATGCGGTTGTTGAAGTGGAGGGACAGCTGAAAAAACTAGAGTTGACAATAGAAGGAAACACAGTAGAGGAGGTAGACATAGGAGAGGAGGAGGAGGAGGAGGAGGAAGGAGAGGATGATGATGATGAAGATGATGATGATGATGATGAAGGATGGATCACACCAAGCAACATCCACAAGTTGAAAAAGAATGCGACCTTGGGCTCCACGGGACCCAGGGAGGTGAAGGTCGGATGTATCACCACAGACTTTGCCATGCAGGTAGGTTGAGGTCAAAACACATAAAACTTTGACCCAGTGGGACTAGACCAAAGATCAGAAAGAAGTTTGCCTCTAATCAGGAACAGAAACCTGCAGTATGGTATGATTCCTTAGAATCTTGAAACCTTTCCTCTAGCCAATGAGAGTTTTCTTCTTACTTTGATTCTCCTCAGACAGTGCCTCAACTTACAATTACAAGATAAGGCCAAGTTATGTCCATTTTAATCAATTGCCAATTTGGCCCTTGGTTTTGCCCCTTTCATTTGTTTTGATTTGCAACAAGTAAGTTAAAAATCTATTCACATGCATGAGTAGCTGTTTCTTTGGTGTTTGAAAAGTTTTTATTTCCCTGTCCCAGAATGTGCTGATCCAGATGGGCCTACACGTGATCTCTGTGGAGGGGTTCCTCATCAGGAGAGCCAAGAGTTACGTCCTGCGCTGTCACGCCTGCTTCAAGTCAGTTTCTCCACATCTTAAGTTAGAACATGCACCTAGGAAGCACCATTAGTTAAGTGTCAGAACAGGAGTGAAAAATCATGCATCAAGCTAAGAAAAACAAAACAAGTCAAAGGAAAGAAGAGAAATCATGAGGGAAAGTTTTCAAGATTTATTTGAGCATTTCTTGACATTTCTGGTCTCCCATCCCCTTCCTGCCAACTGTTCTATGATGAAGTCATACAATAATACTAAGGAGTTTGGGGCTGCCCCCCTCCCTTGTGATGTCTACTTGAGGCATTTGGACTGAGAACAGCCTTGTACATGTACAGTCAACTTTCAAATTTGCACGTTCAACTAAAACCCCCACCTCTCAGCTTCACTGCTCTCAACAAAAAATGCATTGTGTTCCTCTGGGAAGATCATTGACACAGGAAGGGAGCATTATGGTGTCATAACTTTATAAACAGTAAAGTAAAGATTTACAAATTCCAAGTGTCTATTTAAAACAAATGTTGCCATCATGTTTTCAGGGTGACCAGTGAGATGATGCGAGAGTTCTGCCCCAACTGTGGTAACTGCACCCTGACAAAGCTGACCTGCAGTGTGGACAGTGACGGGGCCATCAGATATCACTTCTCACGCAGGCGCCCACTCAACACCCGCGGTCTGATTGTAAGTCCTTCTTTAGTGTAATTCAGTTTAATTTGAGGGATCTCTGATTTTAAAAGATAATGCTGTATTGGAATATCAACCTGAAAACAAGTGGCGTCTGTGTGGTGTAGTGGATAGAGCGTCCGACTGTCAAGCAAGGAGACCCAGGTTCAATCCCCAGGGTTGGACCCAGACATGTCTGGACATGCACCCAGACATTGTGCCCTTGGGAAAGGCACTTAACACGCATTTCCCCCCTCAGTTAGAGGAATCCTGGGCCCCACTAAAGGGTTTGGGTTGACGTTCCAGCTGTAAAAATCTTGCTTAAAAAAGACTTGTACTTGGTGCGAGCACGTCTAACCCCCAGTTGGGGAAAAATGACGTTAAACTCAGTTTAAAAAAAGTATAAGGGGCATCAGTGTTCCTCACAACTCTCCGCTAATTAATTGAGTGAAATGACCAGTCTGTCATCATCAGTGTAAGATAAATTAACATTTTCATCAGTGAGCTAAACTGATTCAAGATCACTTTCCCATTATTTGTCACACCTAATTATTTGTTTCTTACTTTCACCCCTCAGCACCCCCTGCCGGCACCCCAGGGTGGAAAACACGCCCTCAACCCCCGTCTTCACGAGGACCAGCGAGCGCCCCAGCAGCGTGTCGCTCGCAAGGCCAGAGGCAAGACCGACGTCTGGACCGAGGACTACTTCGTGCACTCGTCGCCGTTCGCCACGAGGGATGTGATGAGTCGGTCGGCACACCTAGGGATACGGGAGGGTCCAGGGTACACTAACTACCGCAGCAGGCAGAACCCTAACGAAGTCAAGAGACACAAGAAGAGGAACAGGAAAAAATAAAAGAAATGAAACCAGTGTAAATATACACGAAATACAATCCAAGCAAAAGAGAATAAGAATAGAAATACTGTATAACAAATGCATGCAGAGTTTCTGCCTCAGATATTTGTATAATATCATACAAAATGAATAAAACTCAATGGAAATAAGATGAATAAAATGTGGAAGTCTCTAATTTCCTCAAATAAAATCATTTCAGTGTGTTTGGTCCATAATTTGTGTGTTTGCATGAACGTCAACATGTGTATCTAGTGGAGGTACTAGTAGTATCTATTCTGTGGGAACTTCTGCAGCTGAGTGCACACACCCGATGTTGAGAACAGGTCCAGCTGTTAACCTGCGAACCATACGACCAAACTTCTACAGCCTTTGGAAGTCTTACAAATTCCTGGCAGCTGCAACTTGCTGTAACAACTCAAAAGCCTACACGCCATGAGCCGTGTTATTCTCACATTCTTAGTTCTGGGGATTCTCCTAGGTAGGTGTCTGGTTTGTTACATGATCAGTTGAAGGAAACAGACATTTACAACTGTCAGTATCTCAAAGCCTAGAGTGATTTCACTTATGAATTAACAAGGTTTAAACATGACTTTTGCTTTAGTTGGTTCATTCATTTCATGAACTGAGTTCAAGTTCATACCAAAGTACAACGATTAAACATTCTATGTGACATAGAGAAAACTTAATAACAAAAGCAGATGTAATGACCAATTCCACATCTTCTCTTGCTGTCTGCCTGCTCAGCCCCCATGGCAATGGGCCGGCCCAGAGACTGGCTTCCCGTGAACCAGGCCTCTGGGGCAGGTGGGTGGATGACTTTTTGTTTTGGTTAAGGATCTATATATGTGCGTTCGTAGTGTTAGTGTAATTATATCTAAGAAACTTATGACTCATGATTGTAAAACACGGCAGTACCGAAATGAAGATCTTATTTATATAGAGAGAAGAAAAGACAACAGTACTTTATTGACTCACTGTGGGAAATAAGAAGCAGTGGTTTTGTGTCCCCAGTGTCTGGGTCCAAACCCTGTACGTTGGACACACTGTGCATGTTGATGTGGTGTCCGTACGGGTTCATGACTGACGCGAACGGCTGTGTGGTCTGTCAGTGTCAGCTCAACCCCGACACGGGTAAGAACACTGAGTTTCCTGCTAGCAGATGTTTGCCTCGGCTTGTTCGTTCTACCCCTCCTGTAAGAAAAACTTCACGTGAAAAACACGCTTAGAGATTGGGTACTCCAGAGAACTCTCACTGGTGTAGTGATATATGTCTGGTCACAAGCCGGTTCACCCTCCAAGCAGAGGTTTGGGTTTTGCTTATTTTTGGCATGGGATCTTGGCCCCATGTTTTTGGCCGTGTTTTTAGGCTTTTTTATCGGGCTTTCTTTTTTTCACTGGTATCTTAAAAAAGATACGGTAATGTCCTTGATGTCACAAATTACGAACTCTCGCAATACATGACTTTATTGTTCATGAAAACTGTTTGTATGTACATTTGCATTTTAATCACAATGTAATGCAACATGCGAATAAGCGAATCGATAATTTTTTTCTTTTTTCCTTTCTAGATTTTACGAACCTTTTGCAAGGTGAGCAAATCAATTTCTATAAAGAGAAAAGAAATGAATTTTTTTATGTTTCAAATTTAGTGTCGCCTTCTTTGTAAAAGTTTTCCAGACGCAAAGTCTAGACGTTTCGGTGATTGTTTTTTTTTCTTTTGCAGGGTGAGGCCCTTGCAGATGGATGGGTTGTTGTTGTGTTGCCATGCCATGCCATGTTGTTGATAAACAACAAAACAAAAGAACAGACACCAAATAACATACAGAAGAAGAAAGTTGTAATAAAGCTTTAGTTACTGTTAATGATTTACCATTCATTTGTTTTCCACCTGACGTGTGTATGTGTGTGATACTTCATCATCCGTGCTAGTAACAGCTCTGTTCAAGTCATGATGGATTTTCTTGAAGTCATAATCATACCATAATCATATGTAAGCGTACTGTATCATCTGTTCTCTGACATCATCTGTTCTCAAGAACGTTAAAAAAGGACATTTAAAACGGCGTTAAATAACGTGTTTTTGGACGAACACTTTGCTGAAACTTGGGTAAGAACCTCCTGCAATTCTAATACTGGCCGCTAGACGTCGACGATTTTTGACGTCACCACCACAAACTGGCAGAAAGGATTCGTACTCGACTTTATATCTGGTAGAGAACTTTATCTATTGTCTTATTGTTGATTATAAACATTTGCTTATGCTCCTACGTAGATATAGGGGAAATGACATTGATATTAGTTTTAGCATGTTTCACCATTCATGCCGGCGCAGTGTTGAGCAACTTAGTGGGTGACCGAACGTTGAAAACCGGGTGGTTTTTATGCTATCGTATGTTTGTTTTAGTATTTTTTTCGAACAACAACCTCCAAGGATGCAACGTTGTTAGCATTGAAATGTTCCAGTCGCCAAGCCACATATCAAATGCCATATATTAATACTGTGCCTGAGAGAATGAGAAACTTGATATTAAACCGTTCGAACACCGTATCGTCTGCCCCCCCCCCCCTCCCCTCTCCAAAAGTCCTCCTTCAATGCTATTCCCAAGATGGACCAGTCACGGATATTCGGGACACCGCTGTCCCCGATCTTCAACATGCGGCACTCGTGGGGCATGTCCGCCGAGCTGCTGGAGGATACGCTGTACGTCCTCGCAGCAGAAAACGAGAAAGCCATGAAGAACGCAGATCATGCCATTGGCTGGTTCAAGCATGGAAAAGCTGCAGGTATCTCAGGTCACACTATCTAATTTGTTGGCTCTCGTACCTGAATACATTGTAGAATGCTTCTGAACTAAAAGGTCGACATGAAAAGCAAAGTCGAAGATGACAAGACTAAAAGAACACTACTATTGCTGAAATGCCTAATATCTACATTACTATTGTGACACTGGCAATGACCATTGAATAAATGCAAAAACTAGCATATATCCGGACAACTTAGTATGCAGTCCTGTTTCTGTATTAAATCTGTCCTGTTGTAGAGATGCTGTTTCTGGTGTGTGAGGAGTTTAAGCTGCCTGCTGAGGTACGATACCTTGCAGTGGAGATGTTGGACAGGTAAGACACACCAAGGTTTCTTTTTTTTTTGTCATGTTATGTACAAACATCTTGAGCAGTCTTTCTAGTAGTAACTATGCATTGGCAACCATAAATTTGAGGTAGCCCCCTGTCTCCCACTCCCTGAACTGCAGGTTCCTAATGCTCCATGTTCAGCATCTCTACACCTCAGCCAAGGACACAGGCAAAGGGTCAGCTGCTGAGTGGTCACGTGTGGAGGGTCAGCTGCAGAAACAGATGATGCTGTGGATCCTGGTGTGTGTACAGATGGCCAGCAAAGTGTCCTCACACTATAAGGTATTGTCTTGTCCTTTAATATCTTGTCATCCCCATATTATCTTGTCCTTATCTTGTCATTCTTAGGCCCGATTTAGACTAGAAACGGTATACCGTTTCGAAACGGTTCGAAACGTTTCGCCACAGAAAACGGTTCGTCTTTAGACACAGAGGCGGAAGCGTTTCGTCCCGCCCGTGGCGCAGGATGTTTCTGACCCACAGTGACCTATGATGACCTCCCCGAGCCGCTTCTACGGTTTGCCTCATTGGCCTTATGATACTTGTGTTTCAGGGCCTTGAACTTCGCCCGAACCTGCTTTAGGGTGCATAAATACCCCTCAGCCGCCAGGCCGTCCACAAGCATCTGTATGCCCTCCCTTTTACGCGAGGTCTCCAAGCGGGATTGTATAGTTTGATCGGCCCACAAGATGATCAAGCAGCGGGTCTATTCTTGGGTCCAGACCCTCCCCTGGCCTTCTGCCATCCCCCCAGACATAAAGGATGACGAAAATTCGAGAAATACATGATATAAAATGGCGAAAATGGACATAATCGAATATGGCGCGAATCTACCAGAAAATGGACGTGCGCGAGCTTATTAGCATGTGATTAGCATATGACACGTGACCTGGTTTACCGTTTCAAGAAACCCTTTGACTTTAGACCTAGCAAAAAGCGTTTCGGGCCCCCCACTGAAGGGTTCTGAAACGGTCGAAAACCACGATGGAGGTGGTTTTCGGAAACGGTCCGCGAAAACCCATAACAAACCGTTTTTTCCTCTTTAGACCGGGAACGGTTAACCGTTCTGAAACGTTTCCCTGGCCAAAACCCCTTAAGCGTTTCCAGTCTAAATCGGGCCTTAGAATTAGAAAAACAGAAAAGAGATGTGAGAAGAAAACACAAAATCAATCACAGAAACACCACACGTCGTGGGACCTTTCTTCTGTTTCAGATTGTGACCCCTGGGAAGGCCTGCAGGTTTCTGGTCGATGCAGGTCACAACTTTACAAGGTCAGAAGTCATCAGGTCAGAGTTGAAGGTTTTGAAGACCTTGAACTTTAACCTCAGCATCCCCTCACCTCTGACCTACTTGGAAACTTTATTAGAGATTCTTGGTGAGTCTATTTTAACTTGATTAAATCAAGTGCGAGACCAAATAAATTTGACTCTGAATGTAATCTTTTTGAAAAGAAAATTTGGCTCAATTTGAACAATATTATCACTGAAATAGAGGTGATAACATTCTCCCCATAGGTCACAATGACTCCTCTGTGGAGGTGAAAGTGCTGCATGCCACCAGCCTGAAGGTGTTGGACCTCACCTACATGCAGAGGCACCTGGTGTACAACAAACTCTACATGATGGCCACTCGGTCCAACACACCTGCCTCACCTGACAGGTACTACTCTCAGTTCTGACAGCTGTCAGTCACACTAGTCACACACATGACAGGTATTCATCTCAGTTCTGACAGCTGTCAGTCACACTTGTCACACACATAACAGGTATTCACCTCAGTTCTGACAGCTGTCAGTCACACTTGTCACACACCTGACAGGTGTTAAGCTCAGTTCTGACAGCTATCAGTCATACACATGACAGGTGTTCATCTCAGTTCTGACAGCTGTCAGTCACACTTGTCACACACATGACAGGCGTTCATCTCAGTTCTGACAGCTGTCAGTCACCCTTGTCACACACATGACAGGTGTTCATCTCAGTTATGACAGCTGTCAGTCACACTTGTCACACACATGACAGGCGTTCATCTCAGTTCTGACAGCTGTCAGTCACACTTGTCACACATATGACAGGCGTTCCTCTCAGTTCTGACAGCTGTCAGTCAAACTTTTCACACACATGACAGGTGTTCATCTCAGTACTGACAGCTGTCAGTCACACTTGTCACACACATGACAGGCCTTCATCTCAGTACTGACAGCTGTCAGTCACACACACGACAGGTGTTCATCTCAGTTCTGACAGCTGTCAGTCACACTTGTCACACACATGACAGGCGTTCATCTCAGTACTGACAGCTGTCAGTCACACTTGTCACACACATGACAGGCGTTGATCTCAGTACTGAAAGCTGTCAGTCACACTTGTCACACACATGACAGGTGTTCATCTCAGTTCTGACAGCTGTCAGTCACACTTGTCACACACCTGACACGCGTTCATCTCAGTTCTGACAGCTGTCAGTCACTCTTGTCACACACATGACAGGCATTCCTCTCAGTTTTGACAGCTGTCAGTCAAACTTTTCACACACATGACAGGTGTTCAGCTCAGTTCTGACAGCTGTCAGTCACACTTGTCACACACCTGTCAGTTCTCACACCTGTCAATCACGTGTGTGTGACAGGTGTTCATCTTAGTTCTGACAGCTGTCAGTCACACTTGTCACACACCTGTCAGTTCTCACACCATTCAATCACATGCTGTTCCCAGGGAGAAGTTTGTGACAGTGGAGTGTGACCTGATGTTGCTGGCTGTTGCTGTCATCGGTGCAGCCTCCTACATTCTGGACATGACAACAAGTGACAAGGTCAGTGCATGTGTATGTCATGTCACTTAATCATATTACTTAAAATGATGACATTCCCTGATTGAATACCTGACATGAGATTGTGAAAAGCACACCAATTTGGCTTATTCTGAAGAAGCATGTCAACGTTATATAATCCATCATGCACTTGTTGACTCTAATGTATCATTTATCAAGTAGTAAAATGACATCAAATATGTTTGATTCAGGTATTGAAGGACTGTAAGCTGTTAGAAATGATGAGGAGAAATGCACCAACTCTCAGAGCTGACACATAAGTGCCTAACAATCTCAACAAATCTGTCCATTTTCAGGTGATTGACCAGTTAGGCTGTATCACCCGGATACCAGGCGAGGACATTGTGGACTTCGCTACCATCCTGGTGGAGTGTCTCATCCCCAGTGACCTCCGCATCATCCAGTAAACAGCACCACCTACTGGTGCTGCAGAAAACTGCAGTGCAGCTATATTACCTTTGTTTCTTCAAAAGAAGTTTTTTTTTATGAGGTACAAGTTGAATATCCTGATGTGGCTGTTCCTGTATTAATTACCAGGAAACTTTGCAGTTTGAACATTTTCCAATAATGGATATCACCCCCGTCTTCTCAGCACCAAGGACAGTGTTTTGATGTTTATATTTGATGACAAGATAGATGAACTGCTTTTTTTTCTATGCAGACCCTAGGGTGGAAGGTTGTAATATTTTTTGACTGCTGGGCTTCTTTGACAGCTACTCACGAACATTTCATTTGGGGTGAGTGGTTGTCAGGGAAGAGAGTCCAGCATAGTGTTACAATATTGTAATATATACCATAACATGATATTACATGTATATAGTTTAACTGAAAAGCCTCCCTTTTCCATACTACTACTATAGTTTAACTGAAAAAATCCATCGAAGTAGTTACATTATTTTGTATGTCATACTTAGATTAACATCTACAATGTATTTAATACAATTAATGGTACCTTTGTTTAATGCAATAAAGTTGTTCATAGTTGATAATGCTTCGCCCTATTCTGTTGACAAAGATTTGACAATTGATACAGTAATTTAGTCCAATAGATTTTTATAACATGGTCAAAGCTACCAAAGTTTTCACCAAGTCAAGGACCTAAGAATAGGACAGGATTAGGACTGCTATAAACAATCCTTTTTTTCCCTGGCCATTTGCTTTTATACCAGTATTCCCCTGATTTTGTTGCCATTTTGCTTTTTATTCACTCGTCACTTTGCCAAGCTGTCACAGAAAACCATTCAAAAGCTAGTGAAAAACGTGCAAAAACAAATGAAGCCATGCCCCAAGGACAGGTGGGCGTGACGAAGGCGTGACCTGTCAATCACCTACTCGTGGCGCCAAAATAGGCGGCGCATAAATAGAATGTCCCGGCATGCACCGCAGTGTTACAGCCTCTGGGCAGGCGCAGAAAGGATTTGGTGACGTCACGTCGATCCGCATGTGGCTGATGCAAGAGTAGTTTGAGTGAACGTCGTGTCGCATTCACGCTCGTCTGTGTCGCTTAAAAAGTGTTTTCTGAGCAACCCATCAGATTTACAAGTCGAAGGAGATCACAGGGAAGAGCAGGGATTAGCAAAATGGCAGAGGAAGAAGCGGTGAGTCGTATAGTTGTGTTCTGAATCGGTGCGTGTTGGGTGAAAAGCCACAACATGGCGGAAACGTGTGGGCCATCATGGGCAGCTGTGAGGTTGTGCCCGTTCTTATACTATACATGTTCTGTTGCAACAAACATTGATCAAGTAGAAAATATTATATGTCTGCCTATCGTTTATCTAGATCAACCTTCCTTGGCTTTAGCCTTAGCACTCAGTTTTACAGAGGCGCATGAAATTACTTGCCCGCATCTCTCAACAAAATTTATTTCCTGACGATTTCCAGACTAGTAATTGATACCACTATAGTTTCTAAAACTTAGAGATGTATTCAGTAACCAAGAGAGATATCGCCTGCTCTTTATTCGTGTGTTGTTTTACGCGCTGCTGGTAGTGTACGGGTGGTTCGACACGTAGCGGGTTCAGGGCCGGGTGAACTCAGGTCAGGACGAGATGGGCCCAGCATGTCGAAAACGATTCCAGCTGGTCCCAACTTCTTCAGGGAACCTTTGGGACAGCATTTAGACATAGAAAACTACCATATGAGGCTTTGAAATGTGCTGTAAATGCGCGACACAGTGGTTGAAATGTTAGTTTTTCTGGATTCAGATCGCCCCCCTCAAAAAAAAATTATACATCAGTCACCCCTTGGGATGAAGTAATGTAACCCACATCCAAAACTTATGAATATGGTATGTGGTTATGTGTAAGCTGTGTACATAAAGTACAAGTACAAATTTAGGTTGCCTTCTTGTCATGTTGATAATCAGCTTAAATCTTGCTGTATCTGTTTGTCCCCCAGATATTTGACCTGTCCCTGAAGAAGAAGAAGAAAAAGAAGAAGGTTCCATTCGACCCAGATGCGGCGCTGGGAGAAGGTGGTACCAATGAGCAGGAGGAGAATGAGAAGACGGAGGAACCAGTCAAGGACAAGGAGGAAGATGCTGATGATGAGAAATCTGAGATTATCGATGGTGAAGTCCTCTCATCTAGTCATTTACTCTTTGTGTTGGCTACAAAGGCTGATGATCCATAACCTCAAGTTTATTTTAGGATGATCCCCATACAGGGCAAGCTGCACATAGAATACAGCTATGATTATACAAAATGTAGTTCAAAGTCAGTTAAAATGTTCACATGTATTCCTGCAAAGTGGGAATGATGAAAACATTGGAAAACTGTCATCCTTTCTTCAATTTCTTCTAAGTTCCAGTACCCTGGTTGGAAAGAAATCCTACTCCTCAAATTTCTACAGTTTCTGTGAAGTAGTACTAGTAGAACTTAGTTTTACATGCATTATTTAATATTACTTTATTCCGCTCTACCAGTGTCTCCTTGTGGTTGTGTTGTGGTAACTGCAGACACTTTCATAACCTCTGACCCCTTTTCATATTGCATCATCTTTCGCTTTTGTTTGCCCCCTATCTTTTTCATCAGGATATAAATACATTACTTGTAGCTACCAGTCTTCATGTAAACACTTACTGTATCATATATTGTCAGCCACTGTTTTTTTCATTGTACTGAGTGTAGGAGGGCTCTTTTCCAAGTTTTACAAATTATGAATTAACTAACTGTTTTGAAACACACACATATACTAGTAGATAAGAATGTACCAAAAAGTATGAAATGAAGCTTGATCTCTTTGATTCAATTGATTTCAGTGACTTTAATCAGTGATCTGGTCTACCAAATACATGTACAGTCATTGTATCTCAATCACAAGTTCAACATGGTTGTAGGCTTTTCTCTAAATTTAGGGGTTTCATAGTGATAGTGTCAAATTTTCAGACAGTCGTTTTTAATCTGCCATGCTAGTTGCCCATGGTGAAGTTTCATATAGTGAGTAGTGCATGCTGGGGCAGTGGGTAGTCTGCAGTCATAGTGGTGCCTTTACGTTTCAGGCAGGAAAAGTCGCCACGTCACCTTCGCCTTGCCTGAAGATGAGGACGGTGAGCTTTCCTGTTAGGCTAACCTGGTCAGCAGTCTGTCCCAGGGCTGCAGACTGGGTTTCCTCAGCCTCAGTTAGCTTGTATCCCTGCCTGGCCAACATACAACCCATCCTGGCGACTTTACCTGTTTAAAATTGTTAACTTTTTCAAATAGGTAATGTCACCAGGGTGGGTTATGTTGCCTAGGTGGGAATAGAGGATAACTGTGACTGAGGAAGCCCAGTCTGCAGTCCTGGGAGAGACTGCTGACTAGATTTAGTTTGGGCAGAAGTGCTAAAGAACTAGGCCATACTAAAGAACTAGGCCAGGGAGAATACATCCACTTCAAGTTCTGTCAAACAAATACATGTAAAACCATCCAATAGATTTCCCAAATTTGGACAAAAAAACACACCATCTTGCCATATTTTTTTAAAGTCAGTAACTCACAAGCTAAGAGTGGGTAGCACATAGCAAAAAGCTTAGAATCAATGTTTCTAGCATATAAAATTTGTTTTTGTTTCGGGCCCTTGGTTTTGAGCCCCATATATACTGTGACCTCATAATAATGAGCACCTCTCATTGTACATTGCTTACCCTTTCATGGTCATACTTTCCCTTTCTCTGGCTTTTCTGTACAAATGTCTTCTATACGAATCTTCCATTTGTCCATGTTTACATGTAAGTAGTGCAGGAGCCCGGCCCGGGATTGTGTTTGTTATTGTAAGCAAGATGGTGCAATACCCATACTTGATTGCATGATGATTGTATGGTGTTTGTTATTGTAAGCAAGATGGTGCAATACCCATCCTTAAGAGTTGCATGATGATTGTAAGGCCCTGCCATTGGTATAGAGTCGAAAGACTGACCAATCACTAAACTGTACATGATAACAGTTTTTACTAACTGCAAGAGTATGCCAATGTTACATCATTTACTGATCGGAAATTAGACTGTACAGAACACTGTTCTTTAAATCTGTTTTTATTGAATAGATGGGGTCTTGAAAAGGTAAGGTAAAATTGTGTTAACCATCCATTCGATTGGTTGTAACAAGTTAAAAGGGACAAGTGAATGGGATAAGAAGTGAAAACATTGGCTGCCTAGAATTTAGAAAACCTGGCAATTGGAAAATCTGCTCAACTTGAAGATGAAAAAGATTTTGAGTCAGAACGAAAGGATAAGATACCATAATGTGGAAAGCTTTTGTCAAAGTGACTTACAAAACATGACCGTAACTTCAGTGACAATTGTTGACATGTGGCTGTGAACTTGAAATGTGTGACTGACATCTCTCTTGTGTTCTTTATTGCAGACTTTGCTTCTCTGGATTTAAGCCTAAAGAAGAAAAAGAAAAAGAAGAAGAAGACATTTGACCTAGCAGATCTCGACGAAGCTATGCCAGTGAGTTTTGTAAATCTTTGCCAACTACGCAAAACTCCATTCTACTAACAAATGTCCAATCTTGTGAATGGAATAGGGTTATTCTTGCTCGATTACAGGAAGGAAGACTTGCCTGAAAATTTGAGCATTCTTGTTTTCAAACATAAAGTTTTTACCACTAGAACTAAAAGGTTTAAATGGCAATGTGGTTGCAAAGAAGAAAAGCCCAAGATCTCATCTCATGCACGTGTTTGTTTGTTTGTTTGTTTTCCTCAGGAGAAGGACAACAAACTGGATTCCGAGGAGAAGGGCGTGTCGTTTGAAGACACGGGTGCAGGAGATGTGGACGCCCCGGGACTGGACGATGATCTTGACTTGGACTTGACCAAGAAAAAGAAGAAGAAGAAAAAGGCAATCAAGATGATGGTTGATGAGGATGCAGACGACGACAAGGAAGATGAAGGTAGCACTTTGTCCACCAAAATGTCTGCCCTTTCCATACGTTTCCTCTGACTTGCTGTCTGTGCCATGACATCTTTCTCCTTCACTCTTTTTTTCCAAACATATACTCTTGGATATAACAAAATAATTTTCTATTTTGTGGGTAAGAATTTAAGCAACTTTCAGTTTTGCAGGTTAAAGAATTCAAGGCTTGGTATTATTGATAATAAAGAAGCTAACTAACAGCTTACTTTTGTTGTAGTATGGAAGGAACAGTGACCTTGTTATTTGTAGAAAGTTCCTCTAACTAGCAAGTGAAATTTTTGACAGCTTGCAGCCTTGCAATGTTTCGGGTATCAGAGAAAAGGTGTTTTGTGGTCTGGTGACCTAAAGCATGTCTAATGAGCTTCGCAGCTTTGATTTCCTCAGAAGATGTTTTTCCTATGAGGGCTGCTCTTCACTTCTGTTTCTGTCCCGTTTCTGTCCTGTCTCTGTCCTCTGTGTGACTGGCTCCTTCTCTGCTGTCTTCTTTTGGTGAGAATTTAGTCATTCATTTTCTCTGATATTTCTAACACATTCCAGAAAGAGATGAGGTGTATCTATTTTGTGTATGTGCTGTACGTGTCATGTATATGTGCTGTATCTGTCTTGTATATGTGCTATATATGTGCGGTATCTCACTTTGTAGACAGACAGACTGTCCCAATGGCTGACGAGCTACGGGACTGAAAGAGAGAAAGAGATATCTGATATTCCCTCCATGCTTGTTAAGTTATATCTATCATGCCAACAAAACCTTGTTTGTGTCTTACAGATGATGAAGCGCCAAAGATCGGCTCCATGGGGGGTCCATCTTGGCTCGGCTCCGAGAGAGACTACACCTACGATGAGGTCAGTGACCCCTTGAAAGAGTTTCTGACAAACTTAAGTATAAGCCTTTCAAGCATTTTAACTATGTTTACCGAAGGAAAACAAATTGTTTTTGCTCAGTTTCCTCTTCCTCTTCTCCAAACAGTGACCTCTGACCGAGAATCAATGTTGTGTCTGTTGCCATGGTAACTAGTGTTGGGTTACATCATGTTGTAATTTTATAGCAGGAGGGATTTATTCTCCTGTCTGACCATATATATGAACGTGTTTGAGTAAGAATTGACAGAGCAGACCATATGCGAAGGTAATCATTATGCATTTGCCTGGCAAATGTTACTTTTCTAGTTTATTGTACATTGGCCATTGACTCATCTTGTATCTTTTTTTACCTCCCAGCTCCTGACACGAGTGTTCGACATCATGCGGGAAAAGAACCCCGACATGGTGGCCGGCGAGAAGAGGCGGTTTGTCATGAGGCCGCCACAAGTCGTCAGAGTCGGCACCAAGAAAACCTCGTTTGTCAACTTTGCTGAAATTTGCAAACTGTGAGTGGAGCCAGTCATCTTTTGTCGGTTTACACATGTAATCATATTGATATCCTCTGGACTACCAAGACGTGCAAACTTGATTGTGTTTGGTTAGTTCTATCAGTCGGAAATAACAAAACTTGTCCTGATTTGAAACATTTGTATCTTATGAATTGTAAGATATGCTACTTTTGTACTGTTTTCAATCATTTTTTTTCTCTGATCCTTGTCAGGTTACATCGACAGCCCAAACATCTCCTGGCCTTCCTATTGGCTGAGCTGGGAACAAGGTAAGGCATGGGACTTCTTATTTTTTTTACCAAAGACCACCATAAAGAAGGCTCAAAAACCACAGGATTTGGATGAAAACTGGGTTTGTTAGAACTTAGATGAGGAAAATCTGTACAGATACAGATTTGGATGAAAACTGGGTTTGTTAGATGAAGAAATAGGCGTCAAATTATGGAAATTTGATGCAGGTTACCTGCAGTTTGACAACCCCATGTTGACGTGTTGTTTTACTTGCAGTGGTTCTGTGGACGGCAACAACCAGCTGATCATCAAGGGTCGGTTCCAGCAGAAGCAGATTGAAAACGTACTTAGGAGATACATCAGTAAGTACCCCCTCTTACTGTCACGCAAAACATAGGTGGCAGACCCAAGTAACTTAAAGAATTACAATGTGTCTTTCACAGTGTTGTCATGTGTTCTTAGTTTGTCTAGCTTTCTAACAAGTTATAGAGTAGAGTAGAGTAGAGTAGAGTAGACGTCTTCGCCAAGGTAGGAGCTTAAGTTCCAGTTTAGGCCACTCTTCCCTTTCAGTGCACAGACATCTTTGGCTTCTGGGGATGATCTAGAGCTCTGTAGTCGAACATCAAATTTTTCTCTTTCATGTGTGAGTCCAGCCTTTCCTTAAAAGCATTCACCCTAGGTGACATCAACAATATAAGAATAGGATACGATGTGTAACCGTCTCCTTTCTGTGCCCACAGAGGAATATGTGACGTGCCACACCTGTAGATCTCCGGAGACGATCCTCCAGAAGGACACGCGGCTTTATTTCCTGCAGTGCGAGACGTGCCACTCGCGCTGCTCCGTAGCTAGCATCAAGTCCGGCTTCCAGGCCGTCACCGGCAAGAGGGCTGCCCTCAGGGCAAAGGCCACGTGAGGGCAAGGGTCATAGGGTAGCACGTCTTCCAGGAGAGCTGACATACTGCGAACTGAACCGGCATTTGTCCACACATTGGCATGGTTCTGGATGTGGTGGCGGCTGGTTACATCACAGAGAACGACCGGTCACACCTAAACCATTCTGCTGTCTGAAACTGTCTAATGAAAGGCTCCTACTGTAATTGATAACAATAGGTTCCATTCTGCAATACTTAGGTAGTTTGCAGGGAAAACAAATTCGTAGCCACCTGAATTCTGGGTTGATATGGCTGAATTGGTCATCTGGGATAACTGCTTTATGGTGGTTATGCAAGAATGGCACTTTGTGATTAGGGAATACTGTATAATACTGTAATATTTCTGGACAAATTTTGGCAAACCTCAAGTTATGAACTAGTCCTTTCAAATATTTTGATTACGGGTAAACCGTTCAAAACAGAATAAAACTCGTGTGATGCTTTCCAATATTGCAGCAGAGGGAAAGGTCTTGTCCTGGTAGCTTTTTGTGATGAATGCCACACATCATGTTTGCAGGTATGTCAGCACTTTGTGGAAGGTGTGATATTGTTTGGAGAATGTTAACTGTAGCCAGCACTGACCTGCAACAGGTCCCTTCTCTGCACTGCTCCGGCACATGTAAATACACGTGAAGCATCGATTACAACATTGCAGGAACCCAGTTAAAGATAGCCACGGTTGTATCTGTTATGGAGCAATGTACAGTTGGAACAAATAGACGATGGAGACACAATTTTGTATGTAGAGGGCGGTGTTGAGAAAACATCATGTCATTTTTTGATTCAGTACATTGTATTTACTAAGGTCGAAATTCAGCTGGCTAGTATCTTTGGGGTTCAAAGTGTACTTGCTTCCAGTGTTAGTAACTTGTATCTTAGATATGCCTTGTACTGTTGTAACAGTGCAAAGTACATAACTTCAGGACTATTGCATTGATGTATTTAAACTATCTGCAAAAACATTTCCGGAAAAAATACATACGTTGTGTAGCAACATAGTTACCATATCCTGATACTTGGTTCTCTTTCACAGTTTACTTTTTTGTGATTGAGTGATAGGAAAAAAGGTGTAAACCAGTAGTGTTATCTCATCTTGCAAATGCAAATGCAAAATGTGTAGGGACAACTCTATCATGTATTGATATTATGTTTTCCTGAACATACATAACTATATGTTTATCAACGTTTCTTGGAGTAAATTGAGTCCTTAGGTGTTCAGAGCTGATCTTTTTTATGAGATGTATGGGGTAAGATATAACATGGTTGGTCAAAACTCAAACTTTTGATCAAACAAAGGATCAAAACTCAAGGAATCTGCAATTACCATAATATACAGCGTGACCAAACAATGGATGAGGTCATGGAAAGTTAGAACTTGTTTTAGTGTTTCCAACAGAAACATGCTCTCATGCAAGTGTAACAGCTGTTGAAGGCATCACCAAATGTATAAGTTGTTAACCGTTCCCGAGTGTGCCGACATGTACCGCTGGCCACACATTGCTGCTCCCATCTCATTATAAAATGTCTCCGTGAAATAACCAATAAATTAGTAAAAACTCTTTTAAATGTCTTTCATGTTTTCACTGTGTTTTCTTTGTTCGTAGTATTTACACAAAATTGTTACACAAAATACCAAAACATGAGTATTTCATGGTTGATATGTGAATAGTTGTGCTGTACCTGTCTACTTTAGCATACCTAGGCAATGATGTCACAATACATAAATTATGTTAATGAGTCCATAGCTTTACACTTCAAGATGAGAAATTTTACATTCCACTTCGTGCTATATCAGATTATAACAAACAGAATAAACGAAAACATTACACTTGAGAATGTGGTGTAGTTTACAGTAAGAGCTATCCCCGTCAGTGCAGCTACGAAGAACATACTATAAACCACAAACGTTGTAGACATCACAAAGGTTGCTATTACTATTGGCGATTGCGCAATCTTCATGCCTTAAGGTGGTATGGAAGGGTGGCTGAGGACTTTGGGGACATCCTAAAAATACTACTTAGGATTACCTATGGTCATTGATTTTTTTTGTGTGAGTACCTTAGTGCAAGATGATAATTTATGCAAATTTTGATGACGTAATCATGACGTCATCTCGAGTTATGAGCCACGCCCCCTTTTTAGAAAAATCAATTTTTCTGGCCAGCGCTTTGGTTTTTATTCACCATATTTTGTTGAAAGGCACACACTAGTAATAGCAACAAACGTATGCGAGCATTTTTTAATATCTCAAAGTGTTGATTTTTTATGAATTTTTTTTCGTAAATGTCAACAGTGCCATGCGCCAGCACTCCTCCCCAACATATAAAGCGGCGCAGTGTGTCGGCCTCGCATACGATTTTAGTTTATAAGCTTATCTTTCAAAAAATACCACCTTTTTGTCTCTTTCCATGAACATTTTTTCCACAGTTTCATTCTTAAAATGCTGTATATGTCGTAGGGGTTACATAATGTCCATTTTGAAGCCCGAAAGAGCCGAAATCGCCAATTTTTTGTCGCCATTCCAAGGGCGCCCATCCCTCCCACCGAAAAATGGGTCATTGGCCTGTCAGCACGCTGTATTTAGCTTACTGCGGCGCTATTTGGAAAAACAGGCCGGGGATATGTCCAGTAAAAAGAACAGCCAAAAAGAACGCTAAGATTTCGCGCGAGTAGGGGTCACGTGACTCACCCAAAATGGCGGATGGCGTGGCTTGTTTACGAGCGGAGAAAGCTGTGCGCTTTGCGCCAGCATTTGGGCCGGTAGACGATCTTTTTCACGGCCGTATCCTACGGAGATTTGCAGATGAAGGTTTATGGACTATTCTGAGACCTTATTGGAGAAAATCTGCCGGGGTATTCTGGAGTTACGGACTTGTTTTTTAGGCCTACCCCCAGAGGAGATTGACGATCAGCAAGATCGCAACACTGAAAAGTTATCGCGCGATACCGGAGTAGATAGCCCTGGAAAAAAAGCTTGCCTGGACGTGGTATGGGATTATGAGCGAGTATAATTTTGTTGATTATGTGAATTTACGTTGCACGTTGTCCCAGACTTGTGGAAATAATTTTCACGCACGACGTTCTATGTTCTATCTGAAAAGTACGGACTATCTCTGTAAATCTGTTGGAACTGATTTTTTTTGTAAGCGGCTACTATTTGCTGTATGCTGTAAATCGTAAAAGATTATTGTTAGCAGTTACCGTAAGATTATGTAAGTATCGTATTTTTTAATAAAAACGTAGATTTTATAAAAATTACTAGTAGTTCTTATCATGTCTGTTCACTAGAACGTAACGTTAACGTTTAGTAGTTACAAACGTGTTGCAGTCGATACAAACTCAGAATAATAAGACAGTGCACCGGTAGAGACGCGTTTTTATTCGGTAGAAAATTACTTAATGAGTTATCTGTGAAAATCATGAAAGAACACAAAGGATAACGCCGCATAATGACGGCCGAGTATGAACTAGCAAACGCGGCTCTTTATGCATGCAGTGACCCGGTCCGCCAGGCCGCTCATAACTAAACCAAGATCTAACTTGTGGCTTAAAGCAGACAGCTTCGTTTCTTTTGGCAGTCGAATGTTTTTATATAGGAAGTTGTCAGATTATTTCTGGCGTTTTTGGTGATTTGTGTGGCTGCATATCTCTGGTTGTGTGTTGCAACTTGACAACATTTTGCCGATACGAAGTGTGATAAACAATGGAAACGGCTTGTGTTTTCAGAAAATTATTATTCTTTGCATTTGGCAGGTTTTTACCCAAAACGTTTTGCAAACAACTGACATCAAACGCTCAGTAAAACTCTCTTTTCCAGTGTCTTTTCCCTTCCCAAAAATTATGAAAGTGAAGCTCTCAGTTTACGTAATGACCAGCGAGCCTGATTGGTCGAGCGGCGGAGTAGCTTTTAAAAATAATGTGCACACCCCCACTGGGGCCTGGCTGGAGCGTGAAAAAAATGCACAATTTGGCGGTCAATTTGGCGGCCAAAATGTGGCCATAGTGACAAGACGAAAGAAAATTATAAAAATAGACCCAAAAGACTACCATATCAGATAGAGTTCGTAGTATTTCTAAATATGCCTCAGCTATCCTTCTGGACCACCTTAAACTAATGAGTAAGGAAAATAACGAGCCGGGGTGACGACCGGCTCCTAGCTCAGTTGCTAGAAGAATTTTTTAGGGGGTACAGGTCGCCCTCGAGTGACCCGCTTACTTCGCGGGATGCTCGTGTTGTAGTGATCTGCCCCAACCCCTTTACAACTAAAGAAAATTGAATATCAAAGCAGTACAGGATAAGGAGCGTTGGATAACATCAAACACTGATTTACTTCCTGTCTTTGTTGCCTATCTGTTACGCAGAACTCATTCTACATTACATAAAATAACATCATTAGTGACTCTCATTCGTTACCATTGTCTCTTGTGTAGAAGACGTCTAGACGTGACGCTTCGCACGCTTAGTGTATTATATTGAGTCCTATGACAGGTTCGAAGCTATAGTGCCAACTCAAAAAAAACTCAAGGGGATAAAAGAAATAATTTACATTAATTTCACAATCATACGTGTAGTAAAAAAGAAAGAAAATGTACAAGTAAAAAAATTAATTGTGGAAAAATATTGCATTCCCACACCGGGAATCGAACCCGGGCCTTGGCGGTGAGAGCGCCAAATCCTAACCACTAGACCATATGGGAGTTGCGTGATAACGAGGGAGCGATTACACCTCTATGTACCTACATTTACCTAGTACATTAAGTTTTCATTCATGGAAGATTAATAGGACTAAAAAAAGGTTATTGTTATAGACTGATGACATAAAGTCGTATTAGTCTGTCTATAATGTGTATTTCTGCGTGATTGTGCTGCGTTGAAACGGCTGTTTTGGACAGGAAATGTAATTTTACTACTGATCGCTTGGCGGCGCTACTGTACTACTCTGCCTGCAGACATAGTGTTCATGACAATTTATGGCCACATACAACAATGTGGACTGATTGAAAAGGTGCAATACTTGTCCTACGTTGATTAAAATTAGCATTGACATTCTTAAAGTGTGCAATAACATCTAACATTATCTTCATAGTTTGGAAGGGGGACGGAAGGGCGACAGCAGTGGTCGAAAATAGACGTGCACTAGCCTAGGAGGATCATTTATAAAAGATGACAATTTGCAAATGGATGTTGACGTGACAAAGAAAAAGTTTATTGACGTTAACATGCTTGTGAGAAGAAGTGTTGTTGACCCTACAGTGCAGGGTATTCAGTGGAGTGAGCTGCTTTGTTCTTGGTTCTCTCCTGTTCCAACACCTGTAGGCTATATCTCATGGCGTGGGAGGTGTTCAACAGTTCCCTGGTCCTGCTGGCACCCGAGCGAGTTCTGGACGCCACGCTCATGTTTGTGTTAACAGACACACCTGTAGAGCTCACCCCTGGCTGGAAGCGTACAGAGCTCTTCAGGTCCAGGTTGGAAGCAGCTGGGATGGTGGACGGACAGGAGTTTTGCCAGCCAGCGAGGGTGTGTCCCGACAGGCCAACGGTGTCCGAGGGGTCAAAGCTCCGCCGCCGGTGAGGTTTGACACGGAGGGAGTTCACCAACGAGGATCGAGGGACGCTCACACGGACGTAAGCGGGAGATTCCAACGTCTCTTCGCCTGCTCTTGTGGACCTAAGGTTATAGTAAGAACATGGTTAGGCATCTCATGCCATCTGCAGGGGAAGCGTACTAACTGTTACATCATTACATGGCTGTGTATCAATGCAATCAATGCCATAAAATGCACAAAAGGTTTCAAGAATCTAATAGGGTGACCAACATGACTTACTTGCAGATGGCACATTCACTGTCGCCAGCAAAGTTGCTGTGCATGGGGGTTGGGAAGAGCCTGGAGTTCAGCCTGTAGCTGTGGACACAGTCATGGGTGTCATCCGAGGCTCCTGCGGGGGCTAGTGGAGACTTGTGTCGTCTGAACTGGGGAGGGAAATCAACATTAGTTTGCTTATTTGGTTTCAAGGAATTTCCAGAAAAATAAAATATATTCCAGCCCAGCAGGTGGAACCTACAGATGATGGGTCCAAGCTTACCTGTGGTGTCTTGACCTCCAGGTGTGCTTTGTGCTCACACTCCTCCCGGTTCACCCGCCGGAATTCCCGCAGTTCCTCAAAGAACCCCTCAGAACGGTCCAGCGAGGAAACGTCATTGTCCAGCAGCCCAGCGATCCAATCATAGCCCAGCAGAGGCTGGTCGTCCTCCCTCCCCTTGGCCTGTAGCTCTCCCACCGTCATGGCCGACTGGTTACCACGGTTACTGCCTCCTCCAACCACAGTTCTCCTCTTCACTGGTGTCCTGAGGATGGAGGCAGGCTTCTTAGCCATCTCCTTGGCCCTGCGGCTGTTTCCTTCGTCGTACAGGTGAGGGGTGGTTGGTTCTTGGAAAGTCGACTCTTGACCTGCCTGGTGTCTTGATGACAGGTGTCTGGTTGACTCACCTGTGGGAAAGGTGGCCTCATCAGCTTCTTGAGTCGCAGTTGTGAAGACATTTCCTAACTCTCTTCCTAAAGGAGTTGACTGAAACCTTGGCAGCTTCTCCACTCGTTGTAGTTCTTGAAGTTCTCCTTCTTGCCTGGGGACTTCATCTACAAACGTCACTTTCTTGGGAGTCCGCACTCTCAGCCTGGCTGGTTGTCTGTCGACTCCAGCAGGATCAACGACCCTCGTCTTCTTGTGGTCGGGACTTCGCGCCTCCTTGGGAAGATTTTCCACATTCTTGACGTCTAAGATGTCTCCCGGCTTGTGGATTGTCACCTTGTAAGTGTCTCTTGGACGTTTCTGACTTCCAGAAGACGCCTTGACGAGTTTTAGCGACTCCTTGACGGCGGCTTGCCGATTCCGAAGCTTCTTGATCAGGAGTTGGTTTTCGTACCGCAGATCGTCCAATTCTGCCGGAAACTCAGCCATACTTACCTCTAACACCTTTAAAAACTTCCAACTATCACTGATCGCTATAAACAGGACAATGACTCGTCGCAAGCGTGCGTTTTGTCTGCTTCATGCGAAGCTTCCTTCCTCAAGTTTCCGCCATCTTTCAAATTATTTTTGAAACCGATCCTTACTCCCATGATGCAGCGCGAAATTTCCGGCTCAAAAATAAAATGGCGGCGCCCTGAGGTAAACACGAGTTATTTACTTGTTATTTATTTCGAGGTTTACAGATAACCGTTAGCTTAACGGTTTTTATTTCTGCACAAATTACTGCATAACTATATGCGTGCCTCGGTGACAAATTGTCCTGGCCTTGTCTATCCTGAGATCCTAGCGTATTGACTTTTGCAGACTCTCTTTTGGTGGGGGAGGGGGGCAAGGGGTTCTGAACAGTAGTTCCGTGCTCTCAAAAAAATTATACTCTCATCACCTGAAACGCGCTTTTAGACAAAAATGGTTTATCAGAGCACAGCACTATTAACACGGGCCATGGTTGACCAATTATGTAAATTTAAATCGCTGTCTATGCTCCACCAAGCAATTTGTATATTTTGCAATCTATTGTCATATTTATACAATTTGGAATGAATGATTTACTTACAGTTCTTATGTAATGGACTAACCATGTAAAGAAATAAGTCTGAAGTCTACATGTTGCAGGTTTTTTCCCCAACTGCTGAGATTGTCTACTTGCTGAGGAAGAAAAATCAGAGCCCAACGGATAGATTCTGCCATGGCCAAGTTTGTTCCCAAGTTTTGGAAACCTGGTGAGTCTTTATGTGGTCCAGAGGTATCTGATGAGATCTACATCTATCTAAATCATGCATTAGTCTTCGATGTGTTGGTTATTCATCTATGCTACATGATTTCTCTAAAAAGTTCATAAGTTTGAATGCAAAAGCAATGACAACAAAAAACCTCTTGATTAGCATTTAAGTTCATCTGAGATGGTAAGATATATTATGAGAAACTGCAAACTGTTATCCAACTGAAAAAAAATTCAGTATTTACTTGAGTTAGAGAACAATTTAAATTTTGTCATAACTTCTTGATTCTTAAACTTAAACAGAGATGTAAAATATTGTTTCCCCACCTGAACAGGTACAGAAGCCCCAGGTGTTCATGAGGAGAGGGACCAGGTGAGTGAGGGGAGTGGTGAGGCTGTTGTCTACAACCCTAACGCTTCACTGTCCATCCAGCAGCAGAGACAGAGGCTACCTGTCTTTGGGGTAAGACTGACAAATTACCTTACATTTGTGTAAACATGATTTTAACAAGAATAAATCAATTTACTTATTTAACCAGTCATTTTGTGCCTTTATCTTTGAATAGATTGCAACAAACATGAGTTATACAAGAGCACTTTCAGGCTCGGCAATGTATTTAATATAGATAACACTTATAATTCAGATGTAAGAGCACTGATGCTTATGACTCCTTCTCTTCTCCAGTATCGTAACCAGATCCTGTACCTGGTGGAGAGGTACCAGACTGTGGTGATTGTAGGAGAGACAGGCTGTGGCAAGAGCACACAGATCCCACAGGTACAGCGTGTTTGGCACTTTCTAGTCTGTACATAATGAATGGATTTCAAATACCTTTGGCCCACAATACAAGCATATGAATACTACTACAAACTAGAAAGGTATCATTTCCAAAGCAAATACATAATCTTTACCTTTGCATATGGTCTGCTCTGTTAATTCTTACTCAAACACATTCACATATATGGTGACAGGAGTCTAAATTCCTCCTACTGTAAAATTGCAATATCAGTTACCATGGTGACAGACGGTCTGGTTCAGGTCATTGACCAGGTCAGTGTTTTTAACTGAAGAAGAAACAGAGCAAAAACAGTATGTTTTCCTTTGGTAAACATAAATATGGGAAACTTATAATGCCAAGGTAGAGGCCTTCCTCCTTTGAGCGCTTTTAGGTCCTTCCTTTAATATTTCCATATTTTTGTTAATAGTAGTTGATAAAAATGACAATGATGATGTTCCTGTGCAGTACTTACTGGAGGCTGGCTGGGGAGCAGAGGGTCATGTGATTGGAGTGACCCAGCCCAGGAGGGTAGCCTGTACTACAGTGAGTTAAGTTAAAGTTAAAGTCCTCCCATGGTCGCATATTAGGTGGTGGCCAACTCTGTTTCTAGTAGCCCTTGGGCCACACAGTCGTGCAATCACTACAGCAGGGGGCTAGTCCACTGGTACTGGTGTGTGTGAGTTAAGACACAGTCATATTTCTTCATGATCATGGCTCTCTCCATTGTCCATCCTTTTATCCCTGGACAGAATTTGCTTCTCTGGACCAATAAAACTTTCAACCATTCTGTCCTCCTCAGTGGACAAAAATTTAAGCTTCCTCAGGTCATGAAGGGTGCTTCAAAGTATCGTGTGTGTGATGGGCCTAAGCTGTATCTTGTCTCACCAGGTGGCCAATCGAGTGGCAGAAGAGAGGGGTGCAGTCCTGGGCCATGAGGTCGGCTATTCCATCCGGTTTGACAACCGCATTGATCCAGAAACTACCAAAATCAAGGTACAGTCTCCTCCTTTTCTATGTGTACATATAGTATTAGCTGAAAATTTCATCTGTATGGAGATATGAAAAATACCATTTATGTACATGGGAACCAAGGAATTGAATTGGTGTGACCTTGTGAAATGTGTTGTCTCTGATGTTGCTGTTGTTGTTCTGCAGTTCCTGACCGACGGCATGTTGGTACGGGAGATGATGGCTGATCCACTCCTCAGGAAGTACAGGTAAACAACAACAAAATCAAACAAGTAAATACACCAATGTAAATAAAGTATATACATTTGTAAAAAACGGTAGACACAGATAAAAACGCACTGGTCCCGGGCACCAGTCCACAGGCAGACACTCTAACCACTCGGCTGAAAAGGTCTAGACCCATCGGCTGGGTCAGTTGGTAGCACCTATAAACCCCCCACTGTTACACATTGAACAGCAACACAAGTTTGTTTTGTTTTGCAGTATTTTGATGTTGGATGAGGCTCATGAGAGAACCCTACACACTGACATCATCATTGGTCTGCTGAAGAAGGTAATGTAGGATTGTCTTTTTCTTTTCTTTGCTCAGCTTCAGGCTTCAAATTTGTGAAGGAAAGACCTGGAGATTGTATAAAAAAAATTAACACTATTTTCTCTTCTTCTCAGACCAACAACTTGTGCACTTTCTGTTTGAAATTGCTATGTGGAATCTGTGTACCATTATGGTCTTTGGTTACAACAAAGTTAAGACATTGACTAAGCTGTAATGCCCTGTTTTTTTCCTTCTATTCAGATTCAGAAGAAGAGAGAAGACCTACGGATCATTGTCTCATCAGCCACACTGGACGCAGAAGTACCTGGCTAATTTTACTCTCTTCCATTCTTTGATTTTCTGATGAACGAAGTTTTCACGAATCAACACACAAAGTTACCTTGTACATGTAGATGTCATCCATTACATAAAGTTGGAGTGTGCTTCTTCTTCTACATTGTAAGTGTAATGTTTGACTTGAGCTTGAAAGTTTCTTACTTGCTACCTTACAAACCTGGTTTCATCTTTATCATGTCAGGCCTTCAGGGATTTCTTCAACAAGAATGTTTCTGATCTGGAAAGGTAAGACTGTTCAGCCCCAACACTGATCCTTTGAATTCTATGGGGGACATACAAAATAAAATGCATAGAAAATGCCAGCAAAACTAGTTTGTTACCTAAAGTGGGTTATTCGATACAGACTATGCTACCTGTACATGGTATTTGGGTCTTTCTCCTCTCCCCATTTTAAAGCAAAAATGTAGCTTAAATGAATATTGGCCAACTTGCATTTAAGGGTGATATACTGGTAGATTCTGATATAAATTCTTTTTTCCAGTTTCGACACAGCTCGAATATTGTCCATAGAAGGTAGAGCCTTCCCAGTCAGTATCTACTACAGAGAAAGGTAAGGGTATTTCTCATGGCATGTACAGAAAAATATGGACTTAAAGGTATAACTCTGCCTTGCTGTCCTCCTAATGACCATGATATTGTATGTACCACAATGTAAATGAATATTTTTTCCTGTCTCCAGTCCAGTTCCAGATTACGCCAAGGCCACAGTAGAAACCATAGTGAAGATCCATGAGGGAGAGAGACCAGGAGACATTCTGGCTTTTCTTACAGGACAAGTGAGTCACCAGTACTGTCATCTGTCAGTGATGTAGTAGTTAGCAATGCTGCTTCTTAATCGCAAGGTTAAGTGTTCCGTGTATTGTTGGTAATGGTTTCATGTCAAAATTGTATTTTCAAATTCATGCATTATTGTAAGAAATGTACTGTACATGTATGTATTAATTACATCTGATTTATAAAATTTTCCAGTATTGAATGTAAATGTTTTTCAGGAAGAGGTGGATTCTGTGGTGTCAGACCTCATGTAAGTATATGTTGTATATTAACATATACAAGTTGTTATAAAAGTCCTTCCCACACCATATGGTGTATAGGGTGGCATTTCATTAGTACTTTGGCTACATACCAGTAGTTGTGCAAGTACATTTGACTTCTTCCTCATGTCACATTATATCCAGGCACTAGTCCATATTGATAGCTCTGTGTGTTTCATACTTTGCCCCATACCTACCGTACAGTAGCTGGTGTGTTACGCCGAAGGGCGGTTATACCGGCTATGCCGATACAGATACAGTACCAGTATGTGATATTTTCTCTAGTTGTTGTAATTTCCTTATTTTCATTTTTAGTGAGTACAACCGCTCCAGCAGGAGACAGGGTGAGAGGAGAATGAAGATGAGAGTTCTCCCCATGTACGCAGCCCTTCCCCCTGGAGAACAGGTTAGACTTACCAAATCATACTCCAAGCCAAACAGACCTTCAACAACCATTGCATTAGTGTGGCTGAATCTTGCTGGCTACAATTTAGGCTCACTTAATGAGCTCTTTTGTTCAACTCTTTTCTCCAGCTGAAAGTCTTTGAAAGAGTGTCGCAATCTACCAGGAAGGTGAGTCTTTGTCATGTTAAGTGTTATTATTATTTGGGGGGGGGGGGCATGGTATAGTTTACTAGTATTTCCTTTCTTGTGCTATTAAATTGGTGTGTCTTCCTTTGGCTTCTTTGTGGCGTAGCCAATAAGAAAAATGTTCAAAAGATCTTTGTGTAGCAACGAATCTGATGAAATAAATCTGGTAATTTTGTTAAACCTCACAGGTTGTTGTTGCCACAAACATTGCTGAAGCCTCCATCACTATCAATGGCATTGTGTATGGTGAGTAGCAACACCTTATCAAGAACACAGCACAGAAAACAACAAGTCATCCTCATTTTTCATCTATTCCTTCAATAATTACATAATTCCATCCATGCATTTGTTAACTGTTAGATTCATGAAGAGGATGATGTAACAATGTTTTAAATCTTCCCTTCCAGTTGTTGACTGTGGCTTTGTGAAGTTGAGGGCCTACAACCCCCAGTCTGGAGTAGGTAAGACAATATGAAGTTCTTTATTTCTTACCTCTGATATGATTGCCAATTATGATATTAGACTGGCAGCTTGGTTTGTATAGCATGCTCCAAATGCCATGTGTACAAACAGCTGTATGTACCTTCCGAAAATAAATAGCAGCGAGAAGCAGAACTCCAGTCAGAAGCTCTGAGGAAGGTGTCTGATAGACATCGAAACGTAAGCAGGCAAGATACAGTACGGGTTGTGCAAGAAAAAAGTATCAGCTGTATACCTTAATTTGAAAGTTCATCTGTTCAGCTCCAGTCTTTGTGAAGGAACAAGCAATTCATTAATCTCTAAATTTACCAATCTTGAGAAATTTATTTACAGTCTGAATAACTCAGAGATGTTGTAACTGTTCCCAGAATCCCTTGTGATCACGCCGGTCTCCCAGGCGTCAGCTGGCCAGCGGGCGGGGCGGGCTGGAAGGGTGCGCTCAGGCAAGGTCTTCAGACTCTACACAGGTATGTGTCAACAATAACAGTATTTTCCATGTTACTGCTAATACATTATTAATAATGTATAAGGTTAACCCACTTATTTGATTTGTTGGTACTTGGATGATGATGTGTCTGTGATTTTGATGGCATCTTTGTGTTTTATTCCTTAGAGGAAGATTTCCACAAACTGAAGACCAACACAGTCCCAGAAATGCAAAGGTGAGACTAATGTTTTGTCATGAAGAGATAGCTAGACAATGTTCAGTACATACGTTTTTAGGGAGTCATTACACTGTTTAATACAATTTAGTCAAATACCTCCCAGCCCTCTATGTATGTTTACTGAAGAAAACATTAAGTTTTTTGTTTACTGAAGGTAAACATATTGTTTTTGCTCTGTTTCTTCTATTGTTCCAAACATTGACCTGATCAATGATCTGAACCAGACCGTCTGTCACCATGGTAACTGGTGTTGGGTTACATCATGTTGCAATTTTATAGTAGGAGGGACTCCTGTCACCATATATATGAATGTGTTTGAGTAAGAATTAACAGAGCAGACCATATGCAAAGGTCAACATTATGCATTTGCTTTGCAAATGTTACTTTTCTATTGTTGTTTTATATTGTCATGCTCGATTTTTACTTCAAAATCTAAGAACCATTTTTGAATGACTATACTGATCCCAGGCTTCCTTCCACACAGGAGCAACTTTGCCTTTGTGATCCTGCAGCTGAAGGCTCTGGGCATTGATAACATCCTCAGATTCAACTTTCTCTCTGTGAGTGAAGCAGCTTGGTGTTGTTTGCTAGAGATTCTTAATTCTAGCCACTCCAATTTGTTGGTTCTCAGATTTGCTGGCTTAATCTTTTTCTAACTTTGAAAAAAAATTACGATGTATACAGTATACTTGCATCATTCAGGACACATGTAATACTATGAACCAGTATACAGATGTGTATGCCTATGTGTAAACTCCCCAAATGCTTACATATATACAGATCTATACATGTACTGACTATTGTCTTGTTTCAGTCTCCGCCAGCTCAGATTGTTATTAGAGGATTGGAAGTCCTGTATGCACTTGGGGGTATGTACCACAGAAACTGTGAAATGTAACATTTGTCAAATGCATCCTGAAGTATTGTTTTTGATATCTACATGTGTTTCAAAAAAATGATTGATAACCAATCTGTCTTATTTTATTACAGCATTAGACAAAGATGGTGACTTGACCAGACCACTTGGTTCCAACATGGCAGAGTTCCCTCTCAGTCCCATGTTTGCCAAAATGCTGCTGGAGTCAGGTGAGTTTTAAAAATCTCATGTATCCAGTCATTGTATTAAGTATTAATATTGAGCATGATGAATTTGTAGTGACGTATCGTTTTTATATCAGTGTGTTTCTGTATATTTCTGTGATTCCCAATTGTTCACATTGCCATAATCCTCAGAACTGCTACCTGTATTTTCTTATCCAGGAAAGTTTGGATGCTCAGAGGAAATTCTTACCATCGCTGCAGTGCTGCAAGTCCAGAACATCTTTGTTCACCCTTCTAACCGGAAAATTGAAGCAGTAAGTTAGAACAGATTTAGTTGATACAGCTGGTATCAAAATGTGCAAATCTTCCTGAGTACATATACTAGTACATGTATGCTGAAAGAGACAGTCTCTTTGACTAATTATTTACAGCAATCTGAATTTGTAGACTGTTTTTCACAGTTTCCAGGAGTACTGTGTCTATTATAACATCCTTGTTTGTTTCGGTGACAATTAAAGTTTCTGCTGTTTTTTTGTACACCCTGTACAGCTAAGAGCTCACCACAAGTTTGCTGTGGAGGAGGGAGACTTAATCACTATGCTGAATGTCTACGAGGCCTTCATCAAGGTACAATGTACTGTTTGACTTTTGTTAGTATCAAGTAACTGGTTTAAGCCACTTCAAGGCGTAGCACAAAGTAAGTACATGTACGATAATATTCTTCAAGATTTTAAATTGTAAAAAGTCGGCAATTCAGTCTCTTAGGCTGCCACAGACTTTTTACCTGTATGTTTATGTGAATAATAAACCAGTCACCATCATCCAAACATCATGTCCTGCTTTGCTTCCATTTTCACAGAACAAGAAGAGCTCCCGTTGGTGTCAGCAGTACTTTCTGCATTACAAAGGTGAGAAAGACTCTCTACATTTAGTAACTTGGCTGTATCTGTTTCTGTATTGTTCAACCTTTAAAACTGCCATACAACTATACCATAATTTTTTACCTGCCTGTCAGGACTGGTGAGAGCCACGATGATTCGTGAGCAGCTGAGAAAACTGCTGGTGAAGTTTGACGTCCCCATGAACTCATCTGAAGGTGAGTTACTCTCGAAAAGTTGTCCTGGACATTATTACATTTCAGAGTCCACATTTAATCACATTTTCAATTTTTAGTCCTCCAGAAGGGAATAAAGGAACAGCTATGGGACTGAGTGAGCGTGAGTGAGGATTTTACTTATTGAGACAACTTCTTGCTTTAATTGCAGGGGATGTTGACCCAGTCTGTCGATGTATAGTGTCAGGATTCTTTGCTAATGCTGCCAGGTTTCATCCTACTGGTGTCTACAGGTAAGCCATAAAAGTCTAACACGAAAACTTTGGAAACTTTAATTTGAATGAGCATATCTCCAGTGTTACTTAATAATTGCATAGGTTTACTTTCTGACCAAACATACTCTACTTCCCCCTTACAGGACTGTGCGAGATGACCACGAGCTCCACATCCACCCCAACTCCTGTCTGTACAGGGAAAAGCCTCCGCTCTGGGTCGTGTTCAACGAGGTTCTCCACACCTCCAAACAGTTCATGAGAGACGTAACTGTGGTGAGTGACAGATGTCAATCATGCAAACTTCTCTCTGAAGCCACACTCATTTCTTTCCTACATTTTCCTAGATTTTAAAATTAAAGGGAAAAATATGAAAACAGAGGGCTGGGAGAAAGAATTGACTCTTCTCTCCCTTAAATTGTTTGTACATGTACAAGTTTTCCCTCAGACTAAGAGTTTCTTTATTCAAATTATTGATCTCTCAGTTCAGCAGTATTCAATTGATGAGGTGTAATAATGACAGAGGTTGTTTGATTGTACATACTAACACCTATACATTGCAGTTATTGAAGGCAAATCTTTATATCTCATACATTATTAGAAGACTTCTCATGACATCCCCCCCGCTCTCTCTTGTCTGCAGATTGACCCAAGTTGGCTGTATGAGTTAGCTCCACACTACTATGAATATGGAACGGTGAGCAACTTTTGTTTGACACACTGATTGAAATACAGCAGTCTAGATTTGTAGCTGTTCATTTGTACTCTGTTGGCAACAGTACTGTAATGGTCATCAGGATATTTATTTATACAGCTTGTGTGATTCAATTCTAGTGAAAAAGGAAGATTTCTTTGTCTAACTTATTACATTTTTCTTATATCTAGGAAAGAGAACTTGCAGCAAAAAGAGCCAGGTTGGAGTGAGAGTACCCAAAGCATTCATACGTAAGGTATCACTGGGCTTTAAGGAAGGGAATCAACGGCAAATTGTTGACAATGGAGGACTCAGTCTAATCCCTGTGTATTATATTTTTGTAAAAATAAAGAACAGAAAAAATTCCTGGGTTGTGTGTGCTTGCATATGCAGGCAATTGAAAGTATTCTTTATATTCTTCTTATACTGTACTGTAACATACATATATAACTGTTATATAAATATTTCTCCAAAATTGTTGCTGTTGTGAAGATCTTTAGGTCCCATTGAACCAGCCTGTCTCAGCAGTCTTGACTTGACCATTTCCACGTCTAAGAACCTTTTGTTGACCTGATCATCTTCTCCATCATGTCCCACTCCTCCTTGGACACCTGGGTGGGAGGAGACATCATGTAGGCAATTTATTTCTTGGTTCTCTGACATCTTCAAGCCAAAATGAAAACAGGGCTGGAGGAAAACATGACATAAATGAATAGATGACTAAACAATGACTGATGACAGCAAATAACTTACTCGTCGGAGATCATTGAACATCCCTGCTGCATTTGGAAGCTCTCCTCCGTCAAATGTCACAACCTGCAGAAATATGGCCAAGACATATTTCTTAACTTCTTTTTCTTGTATCTATAATTCTATTTCCTAGAGCCTGAGGGTGGCTCACAAGTCAATTTTTCAGTGAAACATTACAACACATTACAAAGAACATCAGACAAAGTCCATGCGTACCTCTCCTGACATCCAGCTTGCGTAGTCGCTGACCATGTAGGCAGCGAGGTTAGTGAACTCTGCCACCTCCCCCAGCCGGCCGGTCGGGATCCGGGACATGAAAGCCTTCTCAAACCGCCCAGAGGGGTCCAGGCGGCTGAAGGCACCCTGTGTGTGTACACAAGACACATTGGGAATTCATTTAAACTCTCATTACACAGTTTATCGTCTGTTATCTCTTAAGAAAAAGTGAAGGTCTGTGACTACTGACTACCAGAAGTTATAACTATATCTGTCATTTGTTACCCGTTTTCCTTGCTAATGGTCACAGTTTCATACAAATCAATAAATTTCAGATCATAATTTTTCTATTTTCACAATGTGAGAGAACATATCCAGCATAAAAAAGTAGTTGTAAGGAATCTAGTGGTGTTCAGTTTTAATTACCTTGGTCTTGATTGGTCCTGGTGCGATGGCGTTAAACCTCATGCCGTACCGACCCCACTCTGAAGACAGTGACCTGTATGATGCAGTGGGTGGAGGAATCAGGGCTTTGGTGGGGATAACTGCCTGCACCAGACAAATGCTACCTGCACAAGTCAGATCTAAGGAAGATGGATCCTCTTGATCCTATACCAACTCTTTTGGGGCATTTGATGGGTCGTAATGTTCTAAATACATGATCATTGCAGCAAGGAAATGACCAGTGTTATATGTTTGTAAGTCCTTACTGTGTGAGGGCCTCCACCCCAGCCTTCGCTGCTGCACTGGGCACTACAAACCCTGAGCCGTGTTGTGTGTATGTGGCAAGGATGGACAGGAAAGCTGCTCCTGTAGCGTGGAGGGTACCAAACTCAATTCAGTACAGTATAGTATAAAATACATAATGTAGGAAACTTACAATAAAGAATAGCAGGGAAATCTAAATTTACCAGATAGCAAAACGTACATGTACATTTATGTATTTAACCAAGATTTTACAATGGTTATTAAAGTAGTACCTTGGTTAGCTTGTATAAGTCTCTTGCCGACATCCAGTGTGACATAGGCTGTACCATTTAGCACAATGTCAATGATGGTTTTCCATGCATTCGGGGACAATCTGAATGAAGACAGAAGAAGAGGGCAACAGTTATTCAAGGATTTCTGCAAAGTTTTAAATATAGTGTACAACTGCGCGGAACTCAATAACTCAGTACAGCGCTGACTCATAAATGTCGCAAAAGGCCAGCATGTGCACATGAAAGTTGCTATGTACTACTGCAAATTCACAATCCCAGCTTTGTATTCCTGTGGTTTAGAAGTATTTTTTATTTGCTGAAATTTTTTTATTCGCTTCTTCACACTAGTTTGGGGGTCTTCAGAGGATGTCCTCCCATAAAATTAAGTCAGTATGGCGATACTAAAAAAACAACCTCTCTGTTGGTGAGATGAAGTTTCCAGCTGCGTTGTTGATGACCACGTGGGGCAGACCAAACTCTGCGACCAGGGTATCCACCGCAGACGTCACCGCTGCGGGGTCTCTCACGTCAGCCTGCAGGGGCAGCACCGCGTTCCCGGTCTGTCCTGAGATCTCGTCTGCTGTCTTCTGCAACACCTCCAGCTTCCTACACGTTTTAATGGAGAATTTAAGAGAAATGTAGAGAACACCATCGTGGAATGACAATATATAGGCTCCAGTTTAAACCAAAAGAACTACAGTGAAAGCTCATTTTTATATTATAATTCATTTGCCACAGAAAAGAACATCTGATTCTTGTATGTTAAACTGTATTATCCAGTACTGTATTGTATGAGTTGGATCACTAAAGATAGCCCAAATCTTTAAAGAATACTACTAATAATAGTGACCCTAATTTTTTTCAGGACTAAAACAGGAAACACAACATTTTTTCCCGAGGCCTTAGGGTTTGCCTTTTTCTTCCCTGGGTCCTACCATCTGAACTACCCTGGGAACAAGACCGTTACTTACCTACTGGATATGGCGACCTTTGCCCCGAGGGAAGACAACATGGCCGCCATCCCCTTCCCGAGGCCGGTTCCCCCGCCTGTGATGAACGCGACCTTCCCGTCAAACGTCCCCGGGGGCAGCATGGGGCTGCCGAGCACCGGGAAGAACCTGGACACATCGGGACGGTCAGCCGTTCTCTGGGCTGAGGTGGAAAACCTGGCCTGGCACTGTGGAAGTGAGAGAGGCAAAAACATCTTTATAATTTGACATAACATAGTTCATACATACACATGACGAAAGGTTGAACTTGAAAACACCTAGGACAACCATAGAATTAGGGAACTCAGGGGGCACAAGGTGAAAGTAGGGAGTGTAGGTTTATCTGATTGTTCAGGTGCCAAATCTTCATTTCTCAAAAATTCTTTAAACATTATTTTAATCAAGGTTAGGTGGTTATACTACTTGAAGCAGGGACACTGCATACTGGAACATTTGCACCGATTTGAGTACATTTGTACCAATTTGTGTGGTTCTCTTCATCAAAGGGAGCTAGCTTTTTTATGGTATAACTTTGAAGAGACGAGACTTTCTTACACCTAGTTCTTGTCTTTAAGACAGAAACGCATACATGTACTCCAGGTAGCAACTCTACTACATATACTACTAGTACTAGGTCAGGACACAGCCGCAACACCGCCCCCCTCCCCCGAAGTAGTCGTGTTTTTATTTGTATACCTCTCTCAGTAAACCAAACAATGTTTACCATCTTTCCCACACAAATACGCATCCCCAACCACACAATCCCTATCCCGTATACAGCAGTCAAACCGACCTGGGGACCTGTGAGGCCCGTAAACCGGCTCCCGAGTCGAACACCCAAGTACAAACGCCCCGCCATCTTGCTGTCACGGAGGTCATGACCTTTCACCTATTTACCTGTCGAAAAGAAAACTTTCTTTGTCTGAGGAACATTTTGGAGATGGAAAATATTATTTCTGTACAGTCCACCGTCACTGGGCATCGCTTTGAGAGGACTACCGTAGATCGACGTCGAGGTCAAGCGCAGCATGATTGTGACTGTAACTGCAGTACTTTGGACGGTCACTAGGCGGCGCTTTAGAAGGCCCATCCAACTGCAGCTGGTTTGTGATGTGGATGGAGGTCGGTAGCTTGAGCACCTTCACCCCTTACTAGTCAGGTCTAGTAAGGGGTGCCTGTGTGTGGAAGGTGTTCAGCACCAAGGACAGGTTTGCTTGTGTGTGGATAGCTAGTGTTCAGCACCAAGGACAGGTTTGCCTGTGTGTGGAAGGTGTTCAGCACCAAGGACAGGTTTGCCTGTGTGGGGAATGTGTTCAGCACCAAGGACAGGTTTACCTGTGTGGGGAAGGTGTTCAGCACCAAGGACAGGTTTGCCTGTGTGGGGAAGGTGTTCAGCACCAAGGACAGGTTTGCCTGTATGGGGAAAGTGTTTATTCTACCACGGAATAAACCGCGAAAATTAGATGAATAAGAAAATTGGGCAAGAGTGTTATGTTTCATACTGTGGCCACATAACAGCTTGTTCTTGAAAAACGTTTATTTGTGATGATAGAAATACTAATTTAAAGGTACCCTGTAGCTGCATTTTTACCCATTTTTTTACCGAGATTGAGATCAACGTTAGTATCCCTCGTAATTAGATAATCTAATCGTCCTTCTCCGACATGTAAGTGCCTGGCACCGAAACGGGCCGTCATTGGTCGTCATAATTAGATTATCAACTTCACATTAATTATGCACGGCCGTTCTGCACACCTGTGTAGAAACAAGTTTGGTATGGTCCGTCAAAATGGCGATTTCGTACGACGGGAATACTCTGGGCTGATTTTTTCACAACTTTCTGGGTGCTTTCAGACGTTTTCGTCGATAGAATGTCTTAATAAGTGTGCAGCAGAATGTCTGGGAGTTTGTGCTGTGGATTTGTGCCGTTCTGGTGATGTTTTGAGGAGAAAATGCGGATTTCCTGACCTGGCGAATTTTGGAGAAGACAAAAATGGCGAGACAGTTGGGAAGAGTAACGTTTGCGTGGTATGGAGACGACTTCATTTATTGTTGCAGGTAAGCCAGTACATTGTTTGCCTGACATTATTCCTTAGCAACTAGTACGAACATGTCAACATATTCCGTAAGAAATGAACTATTTCTGTACTAGGCAGCGACCGTTTCTAATTTTACACAGGCTTAGAAAAGCCCATCAAGTTGCCGCGTTTTCAACAACATTTTCAATGTGTGGTGCACTTGTAGAGTGTTAAATGTATGTGCATGTCTTTTTAGTCAGTTGGTCAGCGTTTTGAGGTTATATTTGTATTTGAAATTCTGCATTGACCAAACTATTTTCTCTCTTTTATCTCCACGTGGTTCAAAACACCTGTTGGAATGTGGCCGTGTAACGATACATAATTATTTTTGATGATCCCGCCAAAAATTTGCGTAAACAAAATGGCGTCCTCTAAGTTTCAAGGCGCCGAAATGAATACGATACAAAACGTTTGAAACTAGTTATGTCGAGTTCATCATACTTTCGTTCTTCATTATCATCTGCACCGCGTATTATGTATAATTTAAAAGCTTGTTCGTTTCCTTTTTAGAGTAATTCAGTAAAGAGTAATGACCAAGTCCAAGTATTTCTCGTGCAAACATATGCTTGACGGTAGCAATTCCTGTTTTCTCACCTGTATTTCTCACCTGTATTTCTCACCTGTAGCCGGTCAATAGGTACCCTGTGTGGGTAATGAGACCGCACTTCGGGTAGTTTCGGCGGTAGCAATTCTTCTCATGTGTTCAGTACGTAAAGGTGTAGTTGTACATATCCTGGTGATTCTTCCACTCGTGTGCAATATGGTTCTTGAACTCATTTACTGATTTGCTGGACACTGCTTCCTGGGAAAGAGAGTTCCACACTCTTGTGACTCTTGAAGAGAAGAAACACTTCCTCGTCCCGTGTGATATTGTTGTTTTCAAAACATTTTGTGCAAGTTTTTTCGTATTCCACGTAAAGTTTCGAGTTGAAGGGGGTTGATTTATTTTATTGTTGTGTCTATCCCCATTTTTAAGGTCATTACATTTATGTAGAGTTTTCGTGGAGGTTTGACACATGTGTTTGTTTTAAAGTTAAGATATTTAAGGTGTGTGTGTGCGCATTGCTAGTTTTTATTATTTGAGACAAGTGTCTAACTTCTAATTTCTGTATCTTAGTTAAGTGATGACTGATGCAGTAGTGAGGACTTCTGTCTGAACCTGACAGGACAGACTGGACCAGACCAGATGATTTGATGACTGAAGAGGAATATCAGGTAAGAAAAATTCCAATTCTGCATTTTACCTATCATTTATTTGGTATTATTTGAAACAAGTGTGTAACATTTAACATCTGCATAGTTAGGTGGCTCCTGACTTATACAGGAGTGAGGACTACTGTCTGAACCTGACAAGAAAGATTGGACCAGGCCAGCTGGTTTGAAGAGCAAAGAGGAATATCAGGTAAGAAATGCCAATTCTGCATTTTAACTACAGCTATTTGATGTTATTTGAGGCAAGTGTGTAACTTCTAATTTCTGAATAGTTAGGTGGCTGCTGACTGATGCAGTAGTGGTAAATTCTTCGTAAACCTGACAAGAGAAGATTGAACTAGACAAGGTGATTTGAAGACCAAAGATGACTCTCAGGTGAGAAAAATCTGAATTCTGCATTCAACCTACTATTTACTTTATTTGAGACAAGTGTATAACTTCTAATGTCTGTATAGTTACTGGTGGCTGCTGACTGATGAAGAAGTGAAGACTCTTGCCTGACCCTCTGTCACCGCTCCTTATTCCTCAATTGGTTAAAGGCTTTCCTGACCAAAAGGGAGCAAACAGTAGTGGTTGAAGGGAAGGCGTCGGCTCCAGTTAAAGTAGCGTCTGGGGTCCCTCAAGGAACCGTCCTGGGGCCATTGCTCTTTCTCTTGTATATAAATGACCTACCAGATCAGCTTGACTCAAATGTGAGGTTATTTGCCGATGACTGTCTATTGTATGTAGAGCTTTCTACACAGACCGACTCACAACTTCTCCAAAAAGACCTGAACACCCTGGAAGAATGGCAAAGCAAATGGCTCATGCAGTTTAATCCCGAAAAATGCTACATTATGCACATAACAAACAAACGAACACCACATGCAACTAGCTACCAGTTTTGTGGTCAGGCTTTAGCAACCACAAAAATCCATCCGTATCTGGGCGTCACGCTGACAAGCGGACTGAAGTGGGGTGCACATGTTAATAATATCACAACTAAGGCGAAACAGACATTGGGAGTGATTAAACGTAATCTGTGGGCATGTCCAACGAGAGTAAAATCACTTGCATACACGTCACTTGTAAGACCGAACCTAGAATACGCTGCGACAGTATGGGATCCATATACAAAGAGAGACAAAGACAAATTGGAAAGGGTACAGAATCAAGCTGCAAGATTCTGTATGAACAACTATGTAAGAGGTGCTAGTGTCATGGAAATGAAAAGAAACCTACAGTGGACCTCACTTGAAGACAGAAGAAAGATGTCTAGACTATGCATGATGTACAAAATGACTAATAAACTGGTGGATGTCCCAACTACTAAGTACCTAATACCAGCTCAGAAGAGAACAAGAAATAGCCACGCATTCAAGTACCAGAGTTATCAACCAAGGATTGAGGTGTTCAAGAATTCATTCTTTCCTAGAACTATCGCAGAGTGGAACTCACTGTCACCAAGTACAGTAGGGGCACTGTCAATAGATAGCTTTAAACAATGTCTAGAGCTAGAAGTTCAAGGGTTAGGTGTAACAAGTCGATCGGTGTAATATAGCCAGCTGCCGCCGCGCCGCGTGCCTGCGAAGCTGGTGTGTTACGCTGAAAGGCGGTTATATCGGCTATACAGATACAGATACAGACAGAACCTGACAAGAGAAATTGGACCTGATCGGGTAATTTAGAGACACTAGAGCAAGATGACAACAACATCCACAGGTGAGACAATGCTTTAGAATATCTGTTTGACTCTAGCACCCCTCCTTTATGTCTTACACTTTATAGAAATAACACACATGTAGCAAAACATCTTTCATATAAATTTTGTATTGCCTTTGACTTGAATAAATTACTACACTAACTTAAAAAGTATATTACACTTCTTGAGCACTTGTCAACATTTCTAGGAAGAGGCAAAGTAATTACCCATTCATACAATAGTCATATACCTGGCATCAATTGTTCTTTTATGATTATGTAGTTTATAATAATTAGGGTCAGCAGTCCTGATGTTCCTGTCCAAACCAGGCTAGATGAGACAGCTTGAAGTTGACGACAGAGTGAAGAGTTTGTACAGGTGAGACAATGCTTTCAACTTTATTTTTTCTCAGAGGCATAACAAGCTACTTTTAACACTGTGAACATATCTAAACAAAGAGATACTGGTAGTTAAATTGCAGGATTTTATCACTTTCATAGTCACCTAGTTGCCTGGAAATTTTTTTGGGAGCATCACACTAATTATTCATTATATTAGTTGTGTTCTGGCGTTCCTGTCCTGACTGGGAGAAACCTCTGATGATGGCTCAGCAAACCAGTTGACTTGAAGACACAGTTTGTACCTGTTCATGCAGGTGAGACAATACTTAACAACAATGTCATAGATTTTTCCTTTTCTATTGGATTTATTTTAAAAAAAAGCTGTGGCATAGCTTGCTGTTAGTAACACTTTAAAATTAGCCTAATACTAACTTTTTGTGCATTGATTCAAGCAAGTTGCTTGACAACTTACATGACTTACTCCTTGCCTCAAATGTTATTATCAATAAGAACTCTAAAGGTGTAACATGCTACAAGTACAGCACTTTTAAAAGCAGTTTTCTAGAGCCTAACTCTTTC